TCCAAAAATGAGCTCATGCTTGGAGCAAGTTTCGTCACACTGTGTTTGCACAAACACAAACAACTAGCCGCACAGCATGAGATGGAAACGAGCGCAGCTTTTTCGGTGATACATTTTCAAAGCGGCAAACAACGCGCACACCATTTTTCTACACACAGAATATGAGCTGCTGAATAATTCAAAATACACTCTGCACAAATTTCAATTCAGAACAACATTTTCGTGTTCAAACTAATTAATGTTTCATTTGATTCCTTGTGTTAAGTGGTAATTTATTTTGAAAAATTAAAGCAAAAAAAAAAGGAGACGATGACTTGAGAATGAAACTCGCGATGAAATATGTTCGCAATAAATTATGGGTTCAGTTCCGTTGACATGAATATATTCCTTTTCTAATTTCGGACGATTGACAAAATTCAAATGTTAATGGATGAATATTTACATTTTTCGTTATAACAAAAGCACGAAATCAATATTGTATTGGAGCAGTGGATGGGTGCAATTCATGACGGATTTTATGAATCCGTTATGGAAATAAAGATACATGCTTCCATTCGATATTATAATGCACAACGAATGAATTTTGCATAATTTATTCCAATATCTTCTGTCTGTGTACATTTTTGTGACTGAAAAGTTTGGACGTCGTCTCCAAGGTGGAGTCAAAGCATTCCTCTTGAAATCACGACAAATTGAAGTAATCTTAATTTACATCAAAATGACAATAATATTGGCGTACTCTTCATTTCTTCAAATTATGATTTGATTTAGTTCAATATATTTTTGAGTGTGCCGAGAATTTGATATGAGCAAATGCGTATTTTTTTCAAGAAAATAAAGAATTGACTTGAAACATTCATGAGTGTGCTTATTTTTAAAAGTCAAAACGGCATCAATTTCAATCTCAATTGAAACTAAATGACTGTTTATGGGCAAAAGACTTTTTTAATTGGAGGGAAATGCTCAATGTTATCTTCATCTAAAAGTGGTTCTTTTTAATAACGACGTCAATTTATGACGAAAGAAAAAAATGTGCGTTTCAGAGATGATTCGTCGAACCGATGTTTACTTCAAAAATTATGTTGTCAAGGTAACTGTATCGGATTTTATGATTGCTACCGTAAATGGAATCGTAATGAGATTTGTTCATTTCACTAAATAAATTATAAAATTCAAAGTGCTGAACAAAAGCTGATCAACAAAGCCCTCAAATTTTGGCTGAGATTTTCAAGGCTGATAGGTAAACCAAAATTATAAAATCTCTTTGGAATTCAAGTCGGTGTGAAGACTCCACGTGTTTTTTTTTCTGATTTTATTGTATAATGTGAACGAGATGAATCACAATTTTAAAATATTCATTGCATGAAATGAAACAATGTTGCAGTTCTTCGTACAGCCGCATTCGGTCAGTAGCCTTTTTGTGTTTATATAAATACCGATTTTATGTTCGTTTGAAATTTTTGAAAGAAACTTTTTTTTACGATGGACTTAAAAAAGAGCAATTTAATGGGACTACATAAGCTATAAAAAGGCTCAAATCAATTCGATTCACTGGATAGTATCATTGGCATGTCTTAACGCACGCTTTGCAATGCAATAAATGTGATAGATGTTTTATGAACTTTCTCCTTCTTTTCGTCTTCTACATCCAGAGGAAATATCACACGATGAACCTTTTTTTTCCGCTTTTATTCGAATCGAAAGTAAAACTAGTTGAGAGCTATTGTTCCAGTAAATTGAGTATATGATGAAATAAACAAGTAGTGTCTAGCCATGTATCATCCCGATCAAAGTCGCAAACCATAAAATTTATTTACACCGATGGATGGTTCATCGAGAATCGCTGTCGGTTTATGATTTGTTTTCATCGCGCCAAATGACTTGATCATGATTGTTCGAAAACAAACCAGACAGTCAAATGTCGTAAAAATCGTGTTGTAATTTGAACCAATGTCTGATGAAAAGTTTGTCGACAATTGTAAGCAACGCTCAAAAACTTGCCAAATATAGCGATAAAATAATCAAAGAATGACTATGAAATTATAACAGTTTTTTGTACCATTTTTATATGACCTGCTCCACTCGCATTTATTCTACATTTGTGAACAGCTTTTATTGGGCTGAAGCTTTGAATGTTAATTAGATACGAGTGGAGAAATGGTATAAAGCGTTGAGTTATTCTTTACAAAATCTAAGTAAAATATTTCGGAAGTGTTGACGCAATAATAGTCACGTCATTTAACGAATAAATTCGTAACATACTCTAGTTACAGCGGTTTTTTGAATTTAAAATAACCAACAAACCCAAAATAGCATCGATTAAAAAACGTTAACGTCAACATGATTACGGATTTAAATAGCAAATATTGTATGCTGCATATTTTACCGAGAACACAAAATACTGTCTTGTAATCAGTGATGCGATTTCTATAAATGAAACAAACCACACCAAAATTGTTGTCATGGTTCGCTCTTTTCAGCGACTATTATATTATTCATCATTTCTCGAATAGATAATTATAACGGATGGGTGGAATCGAGTATTTTTGGGTGGACGCATTTGTCTTTTGCCGAAGATAGCGGTGAAAATTATACGTAATCGAAGAAGGCAATTGTTTGGGCGGTAAATTAATGTGAACGTACCCGAAAGCATCTTTATAAGATTTTATTATTTAATCGATGTTTTCTTTCTGAGCGAATGCCTTCGTCCTATTTCGGTATCCATATTGTCACATTACGTTTTGATTTCATCGAATTGAAATAGATCCGACTATCATTTTCAATGGAATAGAAAGCTTATTTACCAATAACAACGCAAAAATAATGAAAAATATATTGCCAAACATCGACCAAATTGAATAAACAACTCTGTTAAATTGGTGACCTACCGAAAGTCGGTAGTTAGTGAAAAAAACGCAAAGAAAAAACGATCGTCAAAATAATGGGATTTTTTCCGTATTTGTGGTCCCACAAGCCAAGCCTTCCAGCAATAATGGCGAAAATCGGAAAGGAAACACGTTTTCACACAGTTCATGTTTTGTTATCCAATTCAATTTATTTTTATTCCAAATATTTCATGGTCAAGTTCACAGAAACGTAAATAATAATTACCGAAAAACAATAATTTTGTTTTTGTGATAACCTATCGAATTTCATTAATTGTGTCCATGTTGTGATATGGTCATTAAGTTATACGTCGTAGCTGACACATTTTCTTGGCCGAAATTTCAATTTATTTGGTCAAGTGAATGAAATGCGTTTCGATGAGAGCAAAAGATGTAATTGCGTTTTGAAATTTCACTTGGATTCATGATTTTCCTACGGATATTCCTTATCCATTCCTTTTTGCAGATTATACATTCACCGCATATATTCACGTGCTAGTAAATCAAGCCACTGTGGAGTTTGGTTTAATATTTAATACAAAAGATGCATTGAAATTGCCACGCATTACCATGATTGTACGTTCAACACGTACTGTTGAATGGCACCATAAAATTCCTCGTGCGCACTCACATATGATGCGATTCATACATACGTAGATGGTTGGTAAACCCATCCGCTGTTGGCTTGCATACAAACAACATTAAAGATGATCCGATTTTTTCGACAGCTATCCTTAATCGCTCTTGACATTTCCAACATGCATATGGAAAACGTTTGTAAGATTAAAACTTTCATTTATGTCTCGCCTTTTTTTGTGCAAATAAATCTCGGTTGCGGCCATTTTTGAATTGTTCCGGTTTAGACAACGTACAATCCGATTAAGTAAAAGTGTCAAGTATTTGCGAATTAAATGCATTACATTTTTCTCTCATTGCACACAGATATAAAAAAGAGTTTCACACAAAGGGCGATAATGTAATTGGCTGTCTACAGGAATTTGTCATACTTAATGTCGTTTCATCGAGAGATTCTTTTTTCAATTCATTACATTCGCTTATGTAGACATTTCAATGCTTCAACTATATGAAATATTTTACATGCTTTTGGTCAAAGCGGTTGGAAATTCCCAACTTGCACGATGTTTTACCTTGAACATTTAATCTATATTTGGAATTAGGTTAAAGACACATTCTCTCGATGTGTCTATTTACCTTCGGCATGAGCCGTCTATTTACATTTTATAAACACTTCTTTGGTCATAGTAACTGTGAGTGGCATCGAACACAGTTGACTAAGGACAACGACTTCGTTGACAATTTACAACACGTTTAAGCGTTAAATTGCGTTTAATCGTGATATATGTTCCAGACTCGTTTTTTTTCATCTGATGTCACTTCAATGGGCGACATTAAATACAATCCAATCAAATATTTGGTGAAAAAACATCACTCAAAAGCAGCACATTGTAAATAGTAGGCTTTATGAAAAAACCAATAAAACATCTTTATATTTATCGCCACATAAATTGTTTGCACTTTTTTTCATGTATATCTCGTTTGATTTTTTGACTAACAGTTTTACCTTGTGTTGGATGACAAAAAATCGAAAGAAAAAATGTGCTTTGTAGTAAATTGTCTAACGTTTGCTTCGATATATACGCCTTTGACAATATGTTGAAAGCACTTTCTGTGCTCTGTGCACTTTCTGTCGTTCTCTTGAATCGAACGCATTTTCATTTAATCTGTTTGTTTTGCAAGAGACAATGTATTGACATTTATTAGGCCACATCAATGAACTCAAATAATTTATGCTTAATTGTGCATTCCTTGAATTCCCGTGTCAATGACTCACACATGATGTGTTTAATTAAAAGGCGTCGGACACATGTGATGTATTGTTCGCATCAAATCATACCGAATCACAGACATTTCGAATATGAAATTGTATTCCAATGCGCCAGCATTCATTGACTCACATTCCGTGTTAACATGTGGAAATTTCAATCGTAGGCGAAATTATCTTAAAAATACACATCACCATCACTCCGTATAGTCGTTCTAAGAAAGGTTAATTTCATTTCTTTAATTCATTTATCATTGTTTACTTTGGTGCAGGGTACGTTTCGGCTGGCATGCGAACATGTTTTGAAAACATTGAAAAAAGGACGTGAAACATTATTAACACTATTGGAGGCATTTGTTTATGATCCGTTGGTTGACTGGGCCGTTGCAGAGGATACAATTGGCGGCGCAGGTGGTGGCGATGGTACAAATGACACACCATCGACTCGAAATCGTCAAATAACCGAAAGGGATCGTCATAACACCAATATTGCAACATTTGGTGCCACCGAAATGGCTTTTGGCATTGAAACAGCACGCAAACAAATGCAGGACGAATTCAACCGAGATACACTCATCATTCAATTCACCGAACTCAAACCAGACTGGATACAAAATAGGTCAGTGTTTTATGATATTTAAACAGCAAAAAAAAAACGATTCTCTTCTGTTGAGAAAAGAAAATGTTGAAATACACACACACACATGGATAAATATTCCATTGTCGTTTCGTCTTCATAAAATAACTTAATGGTTTCTCCCTCACACACACATGAACTTCATATAATTTTAAAATAGAAAGGTCATGTTCGTTTGTCAGTGCATTTTAATGAATTTGCATTACGTTACATGGTATTTCGCCAACGTTACACCACTGAATTATTAAAAAAAAAAACTTCGTGCAATATTATAAAAATTGGTATCTGAAAACTGGTATATTCGTTTACTTTCTCGTCATTAAAGCAGCCCAATTAACGTAACTAGGCAAAAGCTTCACTGTAAAATCATGTAATTCTTGTTTTCGTCGCTTGTAATTTTTTCTCCTCCGCATTTATTTATCCAAGAGAAACGGAAACAAGCAACAAACTCTCTATCTCGTTACTCTCGTCAAGTTCATTTGAAACATAAAAAAAACGTGGTGAAAAACACACATCTTTTCATTGTTATTAACCATCAGCCCGAAGCGATTCTCTGTTATATGTTGCGATTTTATTTGAAGAAAATCCAACGAGCTCTTTTTTTTTCTTCTTGTTTGTTGAACGCAACGACGAATTAAGCATGAGAAATGCTTCAGACAACAACAACAAACACACACACACACAACGGAATACCAATTTATTTTCTTTCTCGCTCTTTTTCATCTTCTTTCATGTGTTGTCTTTAACGTCAATAAAACTTTGCCACAACGTTTACAATCCATAGCTTAGAGCCATTTACTCTTTTCGTTTCGTTTTTTTCTATTTCAAATTCACTTTTACCATTCTTCAAACCAGTTGTATTTGTTTTGGTTGCGATGCAGCTCGATGAGAAAGGATACCAACGATTTGTGTGCTTTTTCGAGTGGAATAAGCATTGAAATGTTTTATTATGATACCGTTGCACAAAATGAAATGTCATATTGTTGGTTTGTTATGTTAAATGAGGTACAAATGCATAGCACACACACACACACATAATTGTTGTATGTCTCTTTCTGTCGTTTGTTTGTGTTTATCAGGAAATAACGACTTATGAGATTCCGTAAAATGTCTGACTGCAACGGAAACATTGGTTTATATCATTTGCAACATTATATTATTATTCAGATGTATTAGAGAGATGGCTTTGTGAAAATGTGCAGCATGTTTGTTTGTTTATTTTAGAGCGTACGCTTTTGATCTATGCACTGAAAATGTGTAAAATAAGAGTGAAACAACGACGGAAATTGTATTACATTCCGTTTGTGTGAGCAACGACGAATGATGCATTATGATAAACATTATCAATTCTTTGGTAGATGCTTTCACAGTCATTGTCATTTTGTGATGAGTATGCAGTAGAGATGAAGTAAATGTGTGTGTGGAAAAGTTCAAAAATTCACTCAACTAAGTCAAAGCATAGTACATGTATCTAATAGAATCATTTAAGAATACGCTGAAACCGTAATATTTCTCTTCGCATTTCGTTTTTAATCCCAAATTGAATTTTGTTGTAATCAGAGTGTGAAAATACCGTTCTAAATTCCTTGTCTCATCATTTTTTCCCTCTTTCCTCTTTTTTACAGAGATGGTTTCTTCAATCAATTAAAGCAAGTGCAGGCATATTTGTTGAGTTTGCAACAGCAGCGATTGCGTCTGCAGTCATTGGAGGAGAATCGTTTGTTGCTCGCAAAACAAGCGGCAATGGTATCGGAAGCTGGTGCGCTTGACTCAGCATTGGGCAGTCATCCGTTAAGCACACTAGCACATCGCTACAGTGGTTACAAGCAGAAAAAAGACGAATGTGATAAGTGTCGACGAGCATTATTAGATCGAATGTCAATGTGTAACAAACAAATGATGGATTATCATAATTGTTTGTACTTAATTGAAACAAACAAAGTAGCCGAAAAACTGGGCGATTTAAATAAATTGACGGCTGCGCTAAAGGTCATTCATCCAAATCATGCATTTGATTTGGTTAAAGATTTTCTCGACAATTCGGCACAAAACGTTATCTATTTGCAAAGTTGTCAACTCAGTTCGGGTCTAGATGTGTTGGTGAAAAAACAAATTGCCACCATTCAACAAACGCTAGAGACATTAGTCGAATATGGTGCGATAACAAGGTATCATCCGCCAAAGGTGCACCAAACACATCGCATTACAAAGTATGGTGAATGGTGCAAATATCTAGCCGAACATCAATCAGTTCAGGATTGTCATAACATTGCCAAACAATTTCAAATGACAATTGGAAAGAATATCATCAATAAAGAGGCCATAACACAGGTGATTGATTTCTCGAGTACGTTGCAAACAACGCTACGAGACGGAGAGTTTAAATTACAAAAGTTACTCGAGCGCTTGAATGTCGAAAGAGACAATGCGGTAATGGATGGCAATTCAAGCGCAAACATCATGCAATACACAAATCTATTTGAAGATGCTCGTAATTCGATTCGAATGTTCTTCCAAGATCAAAATACTTTATCACCTGTCACCAGTGGAAGTAGAGTCATCGCTGCTGCTGCCGCTGAAAAGAAATACAATGTGCTCGCCTTGCATTGTGTAACAATAACCATATTATGCGATTTAAATAAGCGACTTTTGATGATGGAAAATGCAGCCGCCAATTCGGCTGGCATGAATAATATGGTCGCGTTAACATTTAATGGAAATTGGGTGCTAGACGAATTGTACGCGCATTCGGCAATCATGTGTGAAATGTCATCAATCATTGAAAAAGCTCATCGGGATCATGGCACAAAAACCTTGACCGAACCATTCTTTTGTGCAACAAAATGCTTGTGTGAAATTCAAAACATTCACGAAATTCTGCGCGAGTTCAATGAACAAATTTCGTTGAACATTTTAAATGATGCATTGTATTGTATTATCAGCGAAAAAGAAAGCATTTTTAGCATTATTTCAGCATTCGATATTCTACAACGGAATATCGAATCGATTTCAGACCTAACTACTAACTTATATGTAGCATTGAGACATGGTTCGAATGCTGAAGTGACAACACGTCAAGCATCGGCCGATGTGGCGATTTTGCGACAGAATTTTAACGCGATTAAAATGCAAATCGAACAAAATGCCCCAAATGAATTCGGTTCAAAACTATTTCTACGAATTAATGGATTATTTGATAAACTTGACGATGAGTACGACCGCTTAATCGATTGCCTGCAAGACCTTAATTTGGTGGGTGATCAACTTAAAATCGACCAAATGAAAAATGCCACCCAGTTAGCGGTAAGATATATTATACATTCTTGTCGTCTTCTTCATTTCATTTTTTGATTAGCATTTTCTTGCGTTGAATACAAATTTGTGAACATTATGAAAATTTTGACATTATTTTCGTGGACAACACACCATTAACTATTCATGTGGCACACATTTTATACTGATGTCATTTTTTTTTCTCTCGTTTTGAATTTATTTCAGTCGTGCGTTCTTAATGGCGAAAGTCGTGCAATATTGAAGGAAATTTTCTTTGTGAAAAAAATCGAAGCGATTGCTCATTTCTTTGCGAATATTCTAGCAATCAGTGTTGCATTCAGAGCGTCCGGAGAAAAACCATTGCGCGAGGATAGCTACAAGGATAGTGTATTGTGTCTTCCGTTGCGGAACTATTTGACCGATTTTGTGTGGCGTAAAATGTTCGGTCTTCAATCATACTGTGTGACAGTGATATTGTGCGATTTATTGCATGGCATCGGTGTCGATGTGGACAGTGAAATAAATATGGTTGATGTGGGAGCCCAGAACATTGTTTCCATGGAAGAACTATGCAATAAATCGATTGAGAAATATGTTCGAAACGAAAAAATCCCAAAGATGATTGTAACACAAGCGACAACACTTTGTTGGAATTTGGATGGGGCATTTCGTAAACTGTGCACAATACAAAACATCCAAAATCATATAAATTGTCAACAGAATACATTGATACGAACACAGTTGATATTGACGGCACATTTTTGGATGTTCGAAGAACTGCTGACCAAACAAACTGGCTTCTCAATAGTGCCGACACGAAATCGTGCAACCATAATGTTACAATTGGACGAAACCACAAAAACTTTGATCGCTTTACAATCGACTGTACAACGGCAAAAGGATGAATTGGGTGTATTGACGACAGCAATAAATCAACGATTGAAATGGGCGGCCGGAGCAAATCCACAACTAGTGAATTTGATGAATGATTTTGCTAGCACAGTAACAAATCGACATGAAAATATTGAACGCGTCGGTTTGTTAGCAACAGCAGCTCTGAACGAAAGTTCAGCCATTTTACAATATGAAAAATTGCGTGTATCAACCACAGAGGCATTGGATGAAGATCAAAAGTTTTTGAATTTGATATCGCAATGGGAGAAATGTTGTACAATTGCACAGACTTGCGTAAATGTTGTAACACCCGTCGAAGTAGCACTGATTGAATTACTCGACCCAGAAGGGCCTATCGATCGAATGTGGTTGAACAATGTGGCCGGACTTATTGATGAAATGATAAATCAAGTGCAACAAGATATCAGCAAAATTGAACGGGAAATTGTCGACTCACAAGACGAACTACAGTCGTGTGCATATCGCTTGCGTGCATTGATGGCAACTCATAATCGTGTCGGAACGAAAATTTTAACATTGGTCAATGCGATTTATCGCATTGTCGACGAAGACAAGAAATTAATATTGAGCGAATATGTTGAGCGGCACGGTTTAATGAAAGAAACCATAACCGAATTGCAAGGACACAGTTTGAGCAAAGATTTTACTGAAGAATTGGTGAATGTTACACTCAATCAAACCGCTGAATTATTGAACACACTCAAAGATATTTTCAATAATTTGATTAATGTTGGCAATCTACTGAACGAAAATGACAAAACAATCACATCACCAGTCATTGCACAGGTTCAACAACAGGATTGTATGCTGAGTCGACCAAGCAGCCCATCAAAGTCGAAGGCACAGAAAGGTAATCATATTTTAACTATTTCATTTTCTTCATGTCTCTCATAAACTTGTCTGCAAACTAACAACTATATTTTTCAACACACAATGTTCATACAGGAATGGAGCAAAAACGAAATGCATATGCTGTATCGGTATGGCGACGTATTCGTATGAAATTGGAGGGTCGTGATCCGGATCCGACACGACGTTATTCAACTGCCGAACAAGTTGATTGGATGATACGAGAAGCAATGGACGCCAACAATTTGGCCGTTCTCTATGAAGGATGGACGCCTTGGGTTTAAAAACAATCTCTTATTATGGTGTACATGCAACCTTTGTGAACTACAATCAAATCAGAAGAAAAGAAAAACAAAATTGAAATTCGATTTGGAATTTTAATGGACACATTTCTTTTGATATAACTGTAACGACTGTTTGTGACGTTGTCATCGAAGCGCATTTCGCATCTTCACCACAGTTAACATCAATCTAAAACAAACAAATAGTTTAAGTAAAAGCTATTCAACAATCCAAGATCCATTGTCACATACAACAACAACACAAATACACATTGTCGAAATGGTGGTAGATGGAAATAATCGCGTTGGCAACAAGCAAACCCAATATAGATAGCGATCGGGTCGAGCTATGGCTCAATATTTTGTGATGCAATTTATTTATGCATCAAATTGCATTTGTGTATCCGTATCAAGAGCAAAGACAACACACATTGCAAAAACAAACAAATTATATAAACTAACCTAAATTGAACTCATTTTTTCAAAATTAATTCATTTCGCATTTTAAAGAAATTATTAACATTTTATATTTGATTTCGCAATAAATTCGCCGATAAAAGATCTGAATAGAGAGTTAAGAAAAGTTTTGTTGCGACACAAGTTAACTGTTTAAAAGAACAATGCAAACTACGCTCAATTTCAGTATCTTCGAATGAATTTGTGAATCGAATTATTTTTAAAAAGAAAATTCATTAAATTTCATGAAAATCACTCCTTACATATGTTTTGGCATTTCAGAAAAAAGAATCGATTTTCTCCTAATTATATCATTCTATTTAATTGATAACAATTCATTTTTGTTTTATTTCCTTTTGTTGGACGCAAAGTTATTACTAAAAATACACATCTTAATCGAATTTAAAATCATTCATTGAAAAATCTTTTTTTTTATATTTTGGGTATTCTTTTGACCATTCGATTCATATTCTCACATCCTTCATTTCATTTTGCTTGGATTTTAAGTTACGCTGACAAAAAAACACACACACATATATGACATAACATAAATGTTCAATAAAGATTAAATTGGATATCATGCATACTCCAGTTGAGTTTGATTTCTTGACTTTTTGCGGAAGCCAAATGTTAACTTTGGAAATTCTGCGAAGACTGCATTAGAGATTGTAAGTATCTTGTTCGATAATTGTGTATGGATTTTGTAAACACTGGTTTGTATCATAGTCTTAACTTTAAAGTGAAAATCAACAAATTTTGATGAAATTTGGTATGCATATTGCTTGAGAAAATTTTACAAAAAACTGGTCCAAAACTATTTTTCACAAAATATACCATTTACCAGGCACTTTATATTTACACTTTTTTTTATTGAGATATTTACAGCGAGATAAATTAGCGTCAGGTGCTGAGATGAAGTGAAAATAGAAATGACTGTAATAGTTACAAAAACACTTTCATTGTATCCATCTGTATAGCAATCTGTTTTATTGTTTCCACTTCATTTCAGCGTCTGATGATAGCCGCCTGAATTGATTCATCTCGCCGAAAATATCTCAATATCTGATAATCAAATGAATTAATAAAGCCGTCGAAATTATTTTTAATCGCGCTATTCTTTTTTTGGCCATTACTTAATTGCTCTGTATGGGTGTACTGCTGGTTGGGTAAGTATATGACAACAATAACATTTATTCAATTTTGAAACCATTTTAAATGCTAATTTCGCTACTTGTCATCACAATTTATATTAGCAATGTGTTAAGCAGGACAGAATAACTACTGAATTTTTTTTCCTCATAAATAAAAATGCGCAGAAAATGTTCATGATAATAATATTGTATTTTATTTTCAAATAAATTTCATAATACGATTACGGCTTGCATACATAAATAACAAGATTTTAATACATTTCGAAATAGCAAGACCATTTGTTATATAAAAAAATGTCCATATCCTTGCAATGTTCATCTTCATTGAACATCAAATATGTTTGATTTTTTATCTCTTCAAAATACATATAAGCTTTACTGGAAATCCACTGACCTAAATAAATACGACATTTTAAAACGATGAACAGAACATATAGAAATAATAGATTGTTAAGTGTGGAACTAGGAAAAAGCGAAGGGCCGTTGGCGTTCTTCTAATATAGTCGAACCATGTTCGAACGTTTTTTTTAATCCGAAAATTCATCTTTTAGCACCGAGATTTTTACCGGATTTCGATAGAATTTATGATGATTCCGGAATTTATGTTGAATGAATTATGTGCTTGAATCGTCGCCTTTTTGTTGCGATTCAAGTAATTTTTGCTTTAACGAACGTTGTTGAAGCAGTAAATCGTCAATTTGCGATCGATACATGTCTTTAACATCCTGCAGGTCCAATTGCAATTCTTCTGTTTCTTCCACCTTCTCTCCGTACATCTGCAAAATTGCATCATATTGCTCTTGCAATTGGTTGAATTGACTCACTACGGAATCATGAGTTTCTAGTTTATCTTTGATCTGAAAATAGAGAAAAACGAGAAAAAATTTAGAAATTTCAGAAATCGGCATTTATTTGTTTTGAACTTACTCCTTCTAATTGTGATGTAAGCGATGAAACTTCCGACAATAAGAAATTCCGTTCCGATTGCAAACGTGATAATTCCCATTGAAGTTGATGATTTTCACCGTCACGCTGCTTCAAACTTGATTGAAGTGTTTCGATGAGCGCCGAACCACCGCCAAATGCCAGCGGAACTGAACCATATGTTGAATTTGTTGGAGTTCGTCGTTGACCGACTATTGACACTGAATCCAAATCATCCTAAATGGAATAATGTTCATTTTTTGATGAAAAATTAACAAAGACAATGAAATGAAAATTAAAAAAAAAAAATAGTTTTCGTACCAGTTGCCAAGCGGAATCATTGGCAGACATTTTCCCAACGCTATAAGCAGGTGAGCTATTATTTACAATTCGACTAAGCTCCTGTTCGTCACTATGATCACTTTCATTGCTATATTCAACGCTATTTTCGGCAAATTCAACTGAACTAATTTTTCGCATTAATTTCGGTTTTTCCATTCCAATTGCATAAAGGCGCTCTTTCTCCTGACTGTCTTTCAACTGTTTTTGCAAGAGTTCAATATTTGCATTCAACTCATCAACTTTGAGTTTGTATGTTTGAGTTTCTGTGTCATAAGTGGCATACTTTTGTTTGGCATCATTTTGAATGAGTTCCAATTCCATTTGTTTTTGTTGAATTGTTGCTGCCGATTGTTCGCTTCGTAGCAATGCTTTTGATAATGATTCTTCTAAATTGTGAATGCGTACATTGAGTTGATCACTTTGTTCGTTTGCCGATTGTTCCGATTGATTTACATTGGCTAATTGTTTTTCAAGTAATTCAATTTTCTTCAAAAATGTCATCTCTTGTTTTTCCCATGCCAATGTGCGTGTATTCAATGTTGCCTGAAGACTTTGACATTGTTTTACAAGTGGTATGGTGGCCTCCGTAACAGCGTGTGCTTGGTCCTCAGATCGTTGTTCGATTTCTTCCAACCGTCGAACTAACGATGTGTTCTCTTGACGAAGCCTTTGCACTTGATCGGCTTGTTGCAATGCATCCTGTTTCATTTTTTCACGCAACGATTCGATTTCTGTGGTTAATTGTTGATTTTGTTGCTGTAATGTTTGTTGTTCGCCTTGTAAAGTGGCCAAATTTTTGGCTTTCTTTTCCAACGAATAATGTTCTTGTTGTTTTTCATTTAGCTCTTTACGAGCTGCGTCGAACGAAGTTTGAATTGTGTTCAATCGTTGTGTGGTGTCATCCAAATCACTTTTAACCTGTGCCACTTCTTTGTTCAATTTTTGCTTTTCCGATGTTAATTTATGAATTGCCTGAATTTGACTCTTCTCCACATCCTCTTTGGCCGACAATGACTTTTTTACGCGCTCCAATTCAAGTGTCAACTCTTCAATTTGTTCCGTTTGCTTTTTCAATTGTAAATCGGTTTCTTTTTCTTTTGCTCGTAATTTTTTGGTTATGGTTGAATGTTGTAGAATTTGTTTTGATAGCTTTTCGCCCTCAATTTTCAATTCGTCAATCATTGTGTCTTTTTCTTTAACAATTCTATCAATATCTTCTTTGGAAATGCTTTTACTAAAATTCGCTTGAATACTTTTCATTTCGATGCGTAAATTGTCACGTTCCCGTAACGTTTGTTGGAATTTTCGTTCGAGCGCTGACATTCGTTGTGTGTAATCGTCGGTGTGTGTCATTCCCTGTGAATCCACTTGCAGTTGCAATGCATCAAGTTTACTATTCAATTCGGCATTTTTCTCATGGATTTGTGCATTTTCACGGCCCAACTGCACAAGTTTACACTCACGATTTTCGATTATTTCATTTAATTCGGTGATTTTTTGCGTTAATTTTTCATATTCTGAATGTGAACAACCGTCACTGCCACTTTCACTTTGCAACGAATACGTTGACGCCTCGGACAATTCACGATAATGACCTTTTTTCTTACTGCTCGGATTACCAAATACCACGTACTGTGAATGAGCGGACAATTTTGATGATTTACATGCAATTAAAACACCAGCAACACTGCTTGTATGACTGCTCGAATCTCCATTCGGGCCAGAGATTATTTCAATGTCAGACGATGTTGCCGTTTCGATTTCATCAGCTGATGTATGCCCCGAATTGTGTGTATCACTGGTCATAGTTGCTTTTGATTCCAGTGGATTTTTCTCGTCAATACTTTGCGGTGACATATGTGCTTCATCTTTGGTCACATGCTTTGAATGAATTTTATTGACTTCATCCAGAAGGATTTGTTGAACGTCTTCGAAACTTTGTGTTGAATCGGAATATGTGGTCTGAATGTCAAGACCTTCTAAAGATTTATCCAAAATCAACGATCCACCAGCTCTGTGGATCGATTCCGTATTTTTACTGTCTGTAGCATCGTTTGATGGTTCGATAACGGTTGGTAGGGTCAATGTTAAACTACTTCGATTTAAAGTTTTCTGCTGTGAAATTGAACTTGGATCTAAAATCGATGCCGTACCTTCGGACACGGTATTATAGGATTGTGAAATTGATTCATCGTCATCGTCGTGCTGTCCGAAAGACAAATCATCACCACTTGGCGAAGTTACGTTGAATGTGGCCGGATTCACATCGATCACTTCGACACTGTCTGAAATCGATGTGCAACTGGCCGATGTACCAACGGGCGCTGTGGAAATGACCGAGTCGGGAGAAAGTGCCTCACTTGATGACGCATCTTTAATCACTTCAATTGATTCGGATGTTTTGTGGGAATGTTGTAGTGTTATTATGGATGGTGATGAGGATGGTTGACAATCTAAATAAAAAATACAAACATTTAGATACATTTTCACGAGAAAAAAAATATTCAAAAATTGAAAAGCTTACTTCCAGACGGTGACGTTAGTCCCGACGATGGTGTCAACGGCGAACTAAGCAATTCAACCGATTCAGAGGCTGAACTCGTACGACCTGATATGCTTGAATTTTGTGGTTTATCTTCGGCTTTGGTGGAAATCAATCGAGACTCACTTCGACTGGTTGGCGCAATTGTAACGGCTGCTTTATTATTTTCATTATTCTCATTGGCCGCATCAAAAAACGATCCAGTAAATGAACCCCATAAATTACTAGCCGATGTTGCTGTTGTAACCGTTGACAAAATTGGATTACTTATAGATTGTTTCATAACTTTTAAATTATCACTTTTTTCGGATGTGTCGGGCGACAGTTTTACACTCAACGATGATGATGAACTTGATGATTTTAAATCACTGGCATCATCGTCTCCATCTTCTTTTATATCTAATGCTTTATCAATGGTTTTTTGGGCTTCTTTCAATGCATTCTTTGCCAAACTGGCGATTCCGGTTGCATCAAACCAACTCATTTTTTCTCTCTCGTTCAAATTAAATAATAAAATTTACGATGAATTAAAAATAAATGAAAGAATACTGTTTTTGATTTATCTTCGAACAACATTCTTAATGATATTCGGGTATCAGACGTTATTTGTTTGCACAATTTACGTATGACACAGATTGGTGTTGGTATTTTGCACACGTACACAAAATCTAGAACATTTTTTTTTAAATGATAACATCTTCATTATTTTCGCACTTGATTTTTTTCCATTCTAAACGTCGACCGATGTTTATTTGATATGAAATTTAATTTAGAATGACGAATTTCCTGCTTTAAGGGATGCCCCGAATAATAAACATTTTGAGTCGCTGATTTTGAAGTCGACGAATAATATCACTTTTTACAACACTTCTCTGTGGAATTTGCGTGGCGGAAAAAGTGTAAATACTGCAAATATCTGAAGCTATTGCCATAAAATCGACGACATTTCCCACTTTAAACTAAATTTTTTGTGCAATATTCACAGTGTCTGTTGTAATTTGATTGATTTCAATATAGACAGACATAAAACGATACAAAAAGAGAAAAAAGAATTCTGTAAACACGTAATAATATTGGCTTTTGTGTCTACTTTGTGTTTTGCTGTCAAATACAACGTCGTGTCAACCTAATGTCATTGTGACGACATTCAAAGAGGGGAAACATGGAACAAAAACGTTCAATTTCATAACGTTCAATTTTTTTAAATGTGTGTTTGTGGAATGTGAATTAAAACGCAATGCAATTTCTATTTGTAAATGAGTAATCGTATATTTTATTTTTTTTTGTACATATTTCATTGTGTACATCTCAGATGTTGTGCGATTTGTAATTTAAGTTTTTAAAAGTTCGATAATATACGGATCTTCTGATTCGTTGGCCAAGTCGATGGGTGTTTGATCATCCGAGTCGGTGATATTTTTCTGGGCTCCATGTTTCAATAGAATTTTTATACATTCTAAATGGCCGCAACTGATTGAATAATGCAATGCTGTTTGTCCCGAATCTTTGTCGATCAAATTAACATTGGCTCCGTTTTTCAGAAGAATTTCCAAAATTTGATGGTGACCCCGATCGGCAGCCCAATGAATGGCTGCCAAACCGTCTTTGTCATACTCGTTGATTGGAAGATGTTTTGCTTTACTTTGTTTATTTATCGTCATTGACGAACTGAAATGAGCTAAAATCTCGTCGATGTTTCCCTCTTTGGCATGATCAATTATCGTTTTTTCACCAATGTGTTGGTCATCGTCGCATTCGGCCATTGGCTGTGACACCGAAACCCATGCTGGTTTTTTCGATTTTTTCGTCTTTGATGGATCATGTTGATTCCAATCTGGTTCGATTTCATTCAATTTGGAAATATACGATTTCATCGCTGTTTCCTTGGACATTGTGGCCAAATCATTCCATGCATTCCATTTGGAACGGGCGTTCATATTGAAAATGCCCGGTTTTGATGTATTACATGGTCCGACTGTGGCTTGTTTATATAGGCCGTAAAATTCAAGCAGCTGACTTGCATCTAATTGATTCACCAAATGCTGCAAATAATCACATGCTTTATTGAACTTTGTTTCCGTTTCGTCTGTTTCATCCAGGTCACTGAATATATCGTTGAAATGTGCATCGTCCATACTGAAAATAACAAAGAAAAACATTTATAAATATTCCATAAGGTAGAGATTTACATGAGATTTTTTCATTTTTTCAAACCAAATCTTATTAATTTCATTAAATCTCCATGAATATTAGTGATATATAAAAATTTAACAAGATTCAAAGAAAACACAAAAATTTCGGTCACTTACATGCTAAAAAACAATTTGGATTGAATGTGATGTTTAATGAGCACTAATGATGTAGTGATGTTATGTTATCTATGTTGGTGAAGGACTTAAATGTCAAAACTCACAAATCGTTCAAATTCCGAAACATACGTGAAGTTGGCAACAAGATAAACGTCATGTTTTACTTTGTTTACAGCCCACACATAATGGAATAAATTCACGTGCACCGCATACGATAGAAAGAAGTGCGCATTTCACCAATTTAATTCGGTTTTTTTGAAATTTAAAGTGACAAATGTGAATTTTTAATTTGGAAAAATGGCATTTACACGAGAAGTCATCACATTTCAAATTGGCAACTATTCAAATTATGTGGGAACACATTGGTGGAATATTCAAGTAAGTGAATGATTCAATTGATTTTCATGAATTTCGAGCAAATATAAAAGAACCCCTTTGAAATGAAATGAAAATGGAAGTTTACTATAGAAAAACACACGATAGATCAAAAATACATGCAAATTTGAACGAAATATGACTTTTTTCAACCGGAATTTTTTTCAATAGGAGTCGGCATTTTGTTACGATCCAAATGGTGCACCGTCCGAAGTGAGCAATGACATATTGTTTCGAGAAGGTGTCAATCAACAGGTATTTAATTTCTTCACCATATTTCCAACATTTCAATTAATAAAACATTACATTTCTAATTCAGGGATCTGTAACATACACACCGCGTTTGCTTTTAATCGATAATCGTGGTGCCTTATCCCATATGCCCACCGATGGTGGGCTGTACAGTGATCAAGCTTATTTAGTGAAAAAATTTGAATCTGACGCGCCAACATTTACGGAAAGCGATACATTATGGGAGCCAAATCGTTTGGAATTGTTAAAAGAGCAACCAATCGAAAAGCCGGAATATCAGCAAGATTTGGATCAAGCGGCGCAATCTGTCGAAGAGAAACACTATGATTTTCGGAACAAAACATCATCATGGGCCGACTATATGTACACTCGATATCATCCGCGGAGTATAAACCTGTTACCCGCCCTGAATAAATCCAATGAAATTTCATTTGACTGTTACACACGCGGCGCACAAGTATGGACGGAAAATTATTTTGATGATAATTTTGGCGATAATATTCGTCAGTACATTGAAGAATGTAATAACTGTCAAGGTTTTCAAATGTTGTTCGATGCGAACGATGCATTTTCTGGACTTGCATTGAAAGTGCTGGAGCATGTTCAAGATGAATATGGCAAAACCAGTTTAACCATACCAATATTTTCACCGAAGCAAATTTTCAGCGGACCAGACGCAAACGATGCTCTATGTGATTCGACTCGAGTTATTAACTCAGCGCTAACATATGGAAATCTCATTGATTTCAGTTCCATGATTCTACCTCTTTCGACCATGAGCCGATGCTGGCGCAATTTATCACGTCCCCGAGTATTTCCACATGTCAAATATGATTCATCCAATTTGTACGAAACATCGGCGATTTTAGCCACTTACCTCGATACAATTAGCCTGCGGTATCGCATGAGTGAGGCGATTGATGGTTGCCATTTGGCGAGTTTTTGTAATGATTTAACGAATTATGGACGAAAATTAACAGCTGCCGGTTTGGCTATGCCTTTTAATATGTCCGCCGAACATGATCTGATCGATTGTCTTGATCAATTTGATGGGAAATTATTCACACAACTGTCGCCCAATTCAGAGGTCGGTACAGATCGTATTGTACAGAGCGTTTGTGTACGAGGAATTCCAGAAAATCGAGTCAAAAATACAAAATCACAAAAAGAAGTTGAACGCCAACAAAAGATGGCAGCATACCGATGCGATAGCGTCGCTGAAATGTTCCAATTGTACTTTCAATGCAGTAATTATAATAGTTTGTCACATGTTTCAGCACAGAAAAATGCAATGAGCACAAAGAAACCATTCCCGATGGAAATGTTTGACAGTCGATTGAATTCGCAGGGATTCCGAACTGAATTTGAGATGAGCGAAGAGGAAAGCGCAAACAACAAAGTTGGATCGATACCGGTTTTGGCCACCGCACAAACTTCCAATGATTTAGCAGACACTATCGAAAGTTTACATAGGGAAGCCAAACGTATTAAAATCGCAAGAATTCATCGGTTTAAAGAGTCTGGACTCGAGCAAGATGAATACGAAGAGACACTGGAGAAAATTTCCGAATTCAAAGACAATTATGAAGATGCCTTTGAATTGTAAAATTACATTAACAACTCATAGCACGTACTTTTTTTTTTAAATTAATGTTTTTTAATACTTTTCTTTATTAACGTAAAAAAATGTACTTTTTGATGAATCAGAATCATCCTTATTTGATCGAACACAAAACAAAAAATAAAATTCCATAAAAATCAAATTATTTTTTGAATATTGCCTTAATTTTAGCCAGTAATGACTTTGGTGCTGCACTTTCGGTGCCGTCTTTGGATTTTTTGCTGAACGTAAGTTTTTTCGTGGAGAAATTATGAATTGGTCCAAACGCTAATGCAACTACCGTGCATGCCAAGCAGATGACGTTATAGGGCATTGAGAAATCTGGCGTGGGCAATGTAATCAGCAGTGATTCGGTGCGAATATTAATCAAATAACCATTTGGTCGGCTGGCATTAAAACTATCTGCAAACAAATGGCCATCGATTGGAATGGCAGTGTAATTACGAGCGACTGGCAACTGGGTGACCAAAATTGCCGAACCGATGTAGTGTCCATGATTTGCGTCTGCCAAAAAAATGAAATAAAAAGAAAAAAGTTGAAAAAAAATTCCCAAAAATTTGTATCGAATGATTCAATCTTACCTGGTGGATATTCAAGCCATTTCAAGAACACATAATCGAAATCAATGGCAACATCGACGGTACATCTATTCGGAATCTTAAAAGCAATTTCCAATTGTGACGGTCGTTCTCTCAATCGTCCCGGCTTATATTTTATGGCATTTGGTTTAATTTTCTTATTCACCCCGTTCACTGTGATTGTCAATGTATGCAAATAAACGGGAACAAACCAGGGAAGATTTTCTTGTAGCACAACATTCAATGCGGCCCAATGTGTGTTTGTGATTTTCGTCAGTATTTTGCCGCGTTCTTGTCCGACTCCCAAAAGAAACCGTTTGGCATACAATGGCGGTGGAGCGGATAAACTAACAATTGGTGCAGCATTCGTGTTGTCATTGCTTGGATAAATGCCAGCAATAGAGAATAGTTGGTTCTTAAATTGTTCTTTAACATCATAAACTGCCAACGTGGTTGTCGTTCCACCTCGTTGGGTTGTAATTGTTTTTGTCGGTTCTGGTGATAATATGTAATTTGCATCAGTAATATCCACATAAATTTTAGTACTTTCCGCTAAATCATGTGCACCATCCATGCCTTGGCCGAAGAGTTTGCGAAGCGACCAATCTTGAGAGTTTGACGTGATTTTAGTATCGAACACACAGTTTACCGTTTGTTTGATTTCAAGCAATTCCATTGCTTGGTTCGATGATGTTTTCGGTTGTGATTTTACCGGCGTGCGTGCCAAACGACGTACATGCAAACCGAGCGAATGGTAATTGGTGGTGTGAATAAAACCTGAGTTTAAAAGTGATCTGGTTCCACCATATCGACTGGATCCGGGCAAAAGTTTTTTCCACGGTGTCAAATTCTCTGTACACACAATTTCACGCGGCAATGTTGCATAACGAATACGATATTTATTGGTGTCGACATTATTTAGGCTTGCTTTGCCGGTACCCGGTGAAAATGTCGGTCGAAATGTGTACTCCGGTTCAACTGTGTTCGATTTATCGATAAAACTGAACGATGCACACAGCAGCCCCGATAAAATACCGCATAGTTCTTTCCACTGTTCGTCAATGTATTCATCGGTTCGATTTTGAGCATTGAACCACACGGTCACCTCAGCACCACCAGGTGAATCAACTGCAAATTATATTTCATTTAATGGATTTTTCCCTTAAAAAACTCTAAACTCTTTCAAAACATACCCACTGGATAGCCCCAACTTTCATATCGCCACAATCCATTAGTCAGGCTGACATGCAACTCCATCAAGTCATACTTTGAAATTATCTCGGCCAATGGTCGGGCCACCAAATGTGTGTGATAAACTACACCGCAAAATTGATTATTCATTGATCAAAATTGTTTTTCAAAATAAATCTTGTCATCATTACTTACAACTTTCATTGTTTTGAATTATCCATTCGGTTGTGAATTGAAAATATGTATAAACGTGACCGGAATGCAAGGCTTTTATAAATAATTCTTCATTGTATCGGTCGGGCGATGCGGTGAGATCGTGAAAATTAACAAACAAACAAATTAAAACTAATATTTTACGATACATATTCCCTGATTCACTGAATTTTCTCATTGGCTCATGATTGTTTTGTACAATAAAGCGGCTTCTGACAGATGTGATGTGACATGACCAATTCATGTAATCTAGTACGTTTTTCTTCTATGGTAAAAATGATTCAAATTCAAATTTTTCTTCTAAATACTTTTTATTTGATAAAATGTTCACAAAAAAATGGTTTCAAATTGTGTAATTTAAATCACCATTTTAATAGTGCACCATCATATCGAACGAAGGTTCCATTGTGTGTTTCATTCAAAGATAAAATTGTTTGAAGCATTTTTTTACAAGCGTCTTCAATTTGCATAGGTGCATTTGTACCACCCATATCAGTGCGAACCCATCCGGGATGCATTGTAACGCACAAAATGCCATCGTTCTTAAAATCAATGCTCATCGATTTCGTTGCCATATTCAGAGCAGCTTTTGACATACGATATGCATACGCTGCGCCTTGTCCATTATCTTCAATGGAACCCATAAGTGAACTCATATTCAAGATTGTTGCACGCTGTACGCCCATCGGTTGCGATTCATTCGCTGAAGATGCTTTCTTCAATAATGGAATAAATGCCTGGGAAAGTGGGAAATAAAGTGCTGTTTCAATATATTTGAAGGTAATCAAAAGAATGGAGGCACCTTTGTTAGCATAACCGGTGCGATGGCATTTATTTCAAAAGTTTCCCGAAGATCAGTATCTTTGGCGAAATTCAATCGTGTCGATCTTGGAGCGACACCAGCATTGTTTAGCAGCACATTAAGCCCGTCATCCTTGACAATTTCATCGATTTGCTGCACCAAATTATCAAAACTATCATAGTTTGAAACATCTACATATCGAAATAAAAAAAAGTGCTTTATAACATGTCATACTATCTATAAATGAAGATCAATTACCCAACGGAAAAATATGCAGATTATTATGTTTTGCTTTTAACTCATTGAGCTCCTGAAAAATGAAAATTCCATTATGTCATAAAAGCCAATAATATCATAAATTAAAACAGTATCATTAAATTTACAATTCGTTCAGTATAAAAAAGAAAACGGATAAAAATCTAATACTGCGTTCAATTTCAATATCATCATGTAAATGTTGACACACATACACACAAGCGTCAGGCATTGGTGCTGCCCGTTCACACACCGGCATTGATTATGGTGTGAAATGTATGTGATTCAAAAAATGGAATTACCATTATGATGTGTCTGTGTGTTTCAAATACGGGAAAAAAAACAATCGAATAATAAGTCGTTTCGATAAATGCTGACTGTGAGAATCAATGATTCAGACACAAACAGCGTAAAAGCACAACTCAAACATTAAATCAACTATTTCGTCATCGCTATTTCGTGACTGTTACTACGTTCATTTTTATTTTGTCTGTTGTATATCTTCTCGAACTTAATCGAATCGTTGATCGACTACACACTGTTTGCTGTGTATCTGTATGTGTATGTGTGCGCGAGTGATATTCCGTATGAATGTATGTGAAGGCATTTCATTTTGTTAGTTATATACAGTTCATTTAACAAACGACAGTAGTTCACATCGGCGCTTAGACTCACATAAAGTCTTGAATTAACTATTCATTGAATTTTTTTCACAAAGAAAATTAAAATCAGAATTTGTGAAACAACAATTTGCTGTTAAAATCAACGATGGCACCAATTAATCGTAAGTGATATATTTATCTAAAAAAAATATCTATGGACTTGTTGAAGTGTGTGCTTCACTGGGTGTTTTTTTTATATTCTCCTCTCTTCCGATGAGGTTATACATAATTACGTTCTTATTCTTCATAAAAATCACAAATAGTTATGATTTCATTGTATGTGAATCGATGGAGTCATTTTTGTGCTTTGACACTCTTTGATTATGATGTAATTTTACCATGAAAAAAACGACTCCGAATCGAATTGCAAATAAAATCAAAGTTACCTGCGCTTTGTCAGGATTGCGGCATGTTGCAAAAATGTGTTTTGCTGGTTTATTAGAATTAAGCAATTGTTTAACCAAACCAAGTCCCAGCCCGCGATTACAGCCAGTTATTAGAATTGAATTCATAATGTTTTCTCTCTGTTTCGAAATTTTGATGAAAAAATCTCAATTAGTCGATAGTCCAGATGCAAATGAGTACACTTATTTATTCGAAATGATTTGTTTGTCGAAATACACGTTCAAACAAGCTATGTCCGCACTTCCATCCATTCGCCACTAAAAACGATAAAGAAAATCTTGTTCGAATACCATCGAATATTTTATGAGTGTATGAGCGTTGCGATGACGTTTATCACGCTTTTCAGTTTTATTTGTGTGCTCGATTGACGTACATGTGTGTGTTGTTGTTCAGCAACTATATGTGACACTTTGATCTTTTTTCTTACATTGTGTTGTCGCCGAATGCGAGATTCTCTTTGATTTTGGACATGCAAATCATTTACCGAAAATTTATCATATTCGATTGACACAAAAGAAAGTACAACAAAAGTAAATAATAAATTGACATATATTGAAAAAAGAGACAATTGAAGGCATCATCGGCGCCATATTCGGGCAATAAAATAATAAGAAGGCCAACACTTTGTGTTTGTGGGGGAACAAAAGGGAAAAGGCTCAGGGAAAATGGCTTTTTTCAATTTATTTCGAAGACAAATTGCACCCGTTGGCTTAGTTGTTACCACAAATATAAATCATTTACATCGGCGATTTTTGTCGCGATTGCGTAAGTATTGTAATGTGTATGTGTGTGTGTGTGTGTTTTGAATGGAAAAGTGCCTAGAAGAGAGACTGTGAGCCAAAATCAACATAATGCGATCTGAGCAACACCATGACTTTCACATTTTGATTCAGTGCCAAATTCTATAGATTTTTCGTTGTTTTTTTTTCTTGCAAATAAATCGGTTATTTGTTCAACTAAATCCACATACAAATCAATTTGAAACTGTAAATAAATCAATCGGCAATTGGAAAAAAGATTTCTAAATGCGCCATTCATGAAATGCACTTATCGATACAATGTTAATTTCTAATTTGCACACCATGGATGATCACATTTTGCGCAATTTGAGATATACACATATTTAAATGAAACGAACAAATCAATCAGTCCATATCAATCTGACGTATAGAGACAAAAAAAAACTAACCTACAATTCATTCAATATACCGCCAAATTGTATGTTATCATACCACTCAAATGACAAGCAAATAAATTGTGTCTGATAATGAATGTATGTGTGTGTTTGAATTAAATGTCCAATTTCTACACATTCATTTACAATGTTTAATTGGCATTATCAGGAACGGGTTTACATCGTGATTGTATTTAATGAGTATTCGTGCAGTGATTTGATACGCTTTGCATGAATATTAGACTGTTCATCAGTTTGAGATAAGAATATTAATACAAATTGTTCATATATTTAATGCAATTTCATGGTGATGGTATTTATTTTATAGCTACGTAAATTCTTCAGCTTAGTCATCCCAATTAAAGCCGTCCCATACCATCTCAATTGCGCGATATGAATGTTTGGTTAAAACGATTTTTACTTGGCTGTCTTTTATCATTTACACCGATTTTATTGCTTAAACAGTATTTTGCATTTCATAAAATGAGCGGTATGTGAACAGTACACGTGCTTATACAATTTAATTTCCCCTGGCTTTATATTTTATAATTTTCAAACAAACTTGCTCATTTCCATTCATGTTGTTGTTATTTTTTCAATTGCAGAGGAAAATTTCGAGTATGACTTGGTCGTCATTGGTGGTGGTTCGGGTGGTTTGGCTTGGTACGTACCGAAATTATGCTCAAAGTATCACACAGCTAGCGCCACGAAGGAATTCAATGTAATCTATACTAAGTTGCCGCCAACTAGTGAAAACACTTTTGCTCAGTTACAAACAACTGACTAGAATTCCATAGTTGTCCGTAGTGGCGCTAGCTGTGCTATAGTTTTGCATTTTATACAGTCTCTTATGGAACATAATTACAGTGCCAAAGAGGCGGTAGCTCATGGTGCAAAAGTGGCTGTGCTGGATTTTGTTAAACCATCACCACAGGGAACAAAATGGGGTTTGGGCGGAACCTGTGTGAATGTTGGTTGCATTCCAAAGAAATTGATGCATCAAGCAGCTTTATTGGGTGAAGCCGTGCACGAAGCAGCCGCCTATGGATGGAACGTTGACAAGGACAATTTGAAATTGGACTGGAGCGTTTTACGTCAAAATGTTGAAAATCACATTAAATCGGTGAATTGGGTTACTCGTGTCGATTTACGTGACAAGTAAGTTTTTAATCAAGAAAAATAATGACATTCAACTAATGATAAACCGGTTTTTGAAAACATGATTACAGAAAAGTTGAGTATATCAATGGTTTGGGTTACTTCAAAGACAAGAACACTGTGGTTGCCGTCATGAAAAATAAAACCGAGAAGGTATTGACCACAAAATATGTTGTTATTGCTGTCGGTGGCCGGCCAAACTATCCAGATATTCCAGGCGCTCTTGAGTACGGAATTACCAGTGATGATGTTTTCAGCCTGAAAACGGAACCGGGAAAAACTTTGGTCGTTGGAGCAAGGTGAGATAGATTTACTTCGATCATTTTTTCTTGAGTTGTATTTTCACTCCATCCTCGTTTTTCGTTCGTTAGTTATATTGCACTTGAGTGTGCTGGTTTCTTGAATGCCTTCGGTTATGACACAACTGTGATGGTTCGTTCAATTTTCTTGCGTGGATTCGATCAACAAATGGCTGAAATGGTGGCTGCAGCAGCTGCTGAAAAAGGTGTTAAATTTTTGCAAAAGACGGTTCCAAGTGCCGTTGAGAAAACCGAAGATGGTCGCCTGTTGGTACGTTATACAAGTGCTGAAGGTCAACAAGGGTCAGACGTTTTCGACACGGTTCTCTTTGCCATTGGCCGTAAAGCATGCACAGATGATCTTCAATTGCAAGCAGCCGGTGTTAAATTACATCCCGGCTCACATAAACTTGCCGTCAATGACATCGAACAAACAAATGTTGAAAATATTTATGCTGTTGGTGATGTTCTACAGGGCAAACCAGAATTGACACGTATGTATCCCATCGAGATAGAGAAGAAGAATTGAAAAAAAAACTAATTTTGTTTTATTTTGACAGCGGTTGCAATCCATGCTGGTCGCTTGATTGCTCGTCGTTTGTTTGCCGGTGCAACGCAAAAGATGGACTATGCTGATGTTGCCACCACTGTATTCTCACCACTCGAATACGGTTGCGTTGGATTGAGCGAAGAAGATGCCATCGCTAAGTTTGGCGAAGACAATGTTGAAGTTTACCATGCTTACTACAAACCAACCGAATTCTTTATTCCACAAAAAAGCGTTCGCTATTGTTATTTGAAGGCAGTGGCATTTAAAAGTGGCGATCAAAAAGTATTAGGTTTACATTATGTTGGACCGGTTGCCGGTGAAGTGATTCAAGGTTTTGGCGCTGCTGTCAAGTATGTATATTTTTTGCTATAGAGAATTTTCGTTTCGGATAAAAAATTGGTCAGAATGATTAAAAATTATTTTGTTTGTTTGTTGTAGGGCCGGTTTGACAATCAAAATTCTTTTGAATACGGTCGGAATCCATCCAACCACAGCCGAGGAATTCACTCGTTTGAGCATCACAAAAAGTTCGGGATTGGATCCCACACCAGCTACATGTTGCTCTTAAACACTCATCAGCACTCTGGATATTTTAAGAAGCGCATAAATAGCCTTTTTGCTCACAGCAACACATAACAATAGAATTTTTACTATACATTCGTTTTTCTGCATAAAAATTGATATATTCAAATTGTAACAAAAAAAATAAATGATTGATTTTTATGTTGTTGTTCAAATTACCTGGTTTTGCATTGGTAACATTTGGCATATCTTAAATCTGATAAAAAATTGCTGATTTTATATCGATTTTATGTAATAAAAAGTATTTCAAATAATAAAACATCCCAAATTTACAATAACATTTTATTAAATATATTTGCGTTTAAATGGTGTTTTACATTAAAGTGGTACACATATTGTAAATGAGTTAAAAGAGAGTTTACTGATGAGAATATAGATTGTGTATGTGTGTTTGTGAATGGCAACCGTTTTTCGGATGATTTAAAATCATGTCTATTCATCGTTATCGTCGTTATCGGTGGTGTTTTTGTTAAGCGGTTTGGTTCCATTGTAATGTTCACCCAAACTGTACATCGCTCGATGAAATGTGATGACTAAATTCGGACCTTTGAATTTGTCATCACCTTGAATGGTGGGCGGACCGGTGGCTTGAATCACTTCAATTGGAACTTGTAAAATCTGTGACAATGCAGATATTTCAATTTGGCCACCCCAAGCAGCGGTATTTTTCAAATCCAAACAGTATCTTTCAAATTCAGCGTCGGTGAGACAGTCTCCCGTATCGGGATGGCTCATGTAAAATATCAATGAATCCTTATTTTGTAGAATATAATCGGCAGTTTTATTCCGTAACGTTTGAACGTCATCAGCATTTCTCCCTGTAACTTGTAATTGATTCCGTAGTGCATTATATAGACAATTTCCATCGCTAGCAATGGGATGAAGCAGTAGATTTCGTTTGGCCAGGATATTTTTGATGGTATTTAATTCAATAACGCGTGGACCGGTTTTATTTATTTCTTCCTGTGCTAAAATTTCGGCTTGCCGAATTTTCTCTTCGTTTAACTTCTTCTCACGACGTTTTTGAGCTCGCGAAACACGAACAGTTTTATCGTCATCATCGATGGATTCGACATCATTTTGATTGATGGCATCTTGTTCATGGTCACTGTTCACTGTGGTAGTTTTTTCAGCTTGAGCCAATTCATCGGCATGCCTTTTATCCAAATCGCTTTCCAATCGAGCGATTTCTTCGAGCACCTCTTTTTTCTTTTTCTTATCGCCTTTTCCTGCGGTCTTTTTCAGCGCTTGTATTTTTGCCTGCAATTCTTTTCGCTCTTTTTTATGACGTACTGCTATATCTTCACCATCAAGCGAAAGATTTTCTAAACTTTTATCTAAATCGCTCATTGTGGCTGTGCTTTTTTTAGTATGTGCTACATTCACTCGATAAATATGTTGATTGAATGAAATGTCATGCACACAGACTGTGCTGTGTGCAAAACGAAATCAATCATTACCAATAGGGAACGAACCATTATGATAAAGAAACGTGAACTGTCATCTGTCATGTTCGTCACGTTAGTTTGCGTGAATGCCGTTAGGTTGCGCAAACAGTGGCTGATTGTACAGAGACGACGCTCTCATTTCAAGAGATTTGTTTTAGTGTTAAATGGAAAATGCCGAATTGTAGAATGTATATTTCATATTTTATATAATCAAACAAATAATTTTTCATTCTTTTTTATTTGTATCTGTGAATCACTGTGTACATCAAGGTTCAATCAAATCACATTGATTCGGTACTTTGGAATTTAATTATTTTTTTGGTGCTATTTGCAATTATTTTGCGATTCCATTCGCTCGGTCGTTGTTCGGTGTGTAATTGCTCAAAGTTTTCTTTGTGTGTGTGTGTGCGATTGTATGTTTTTTGTCCATTGTCTGCGCTTTTATTTTCGTCAGAAGTCAATTTGAAAGCGAAAAACTTCGAATTTTATTGGAAAAGAAGAAAATAATCGGCGTATTCACTTTTGATACATCGATTTCGAATCGATAAATCGAATAAAATCATGTCTCTGGCATATGGACAACAACAACAAACGCCTCAAGCGGCACAACAGCCACCGATTGGTGCAGCACCGAATCAACAGCAACATCGTGCAATGCCGCCAAATCGAGGTCCCGCACAAGGACCACCACCGCCAAGTCCGGCTCACATTCAAAAAATTCTCGACGAAAATTGTAGTCTCATTCAAACCATTCAAGAATTTCAACATGCTGGCAAAAGCCATGAATGTATGTCTTATCATCAGACACTGCACCGTAATCTCGTTTATTTAGCACAACTTGCGGGTAACTTGAAATAAAACTATGAAAATGAAAACAAGACATTCAATGAATTTCTGTTGTTTAGATTCAACACAAAATGTAAATCAAATTCTACCACCACCACATGTTTTGCAATCTTCGATGGGACAACAAATTCCACCGATGCATCATCCATCAAATGAAGGTGGCAATCAACCACCAGGCGGACCACAAAATCCAAATCAACAACCACCAATTGGGGGTCCATACAATCACATGCAACATCAAATGCCATTGCCAAATTCATCGCACATGCAACAACAACAACAGCAGCAGCAGCAACAGCAACAACAACAACAACAGCAACAGGGACAGGTATAAGCACATTTTTTTGAGCGAAAAAAAAAATATTTCGTGTATTTTGAGCTGTATTTACGAATGGATTAGTAATTTATGCTAAATTATGTAGTTTATTGCTATAATTTACAATTCCTTTCTGTTTATTTCATGAGATTATTTACAAAATGTATGTAAAATATTAAGATTGAAATTTTGCTCTATTTATTAGCAACATCCTGGCCAGAGCCATCCATCGGCACCGCAACATGGTCCACAGCATCCAGGACCTCAACATCCTGGCCAACAGCATCCAGGTCCACAACATCCTGGCCAACAACAACATCCAATCTCAAATCAGGTACAGAATTGTGAAAAGAAAGTTTGTTTTATTATTTTTATGATTTATTTGTGGAAAAAATAAGTGAAGAAACTCGTCTTATTCTGATACAAATTTATTTGTTATCTCAATTATTACAGCAGCCACCGCCTCCTCAACAAAACGATACTGCGGGACCAGCTGGTCAACCTGGTGCGGGGCCACAGCCAAACTATCGAAATGCTGGTCCACCGACTTCCGTTCCTCAATCTCAAGCTCAACCCCAACAGCCACCAGTTCAATCACATCCACCGTTGTCGCATGCCCAACAGGTAAATAATAAAATGTCAAACATTCCGGTCAAATGGGAGTATGCTCACAATGAGAGAAAAAAATTACAGCAACCACCACAACCGCCACAAAATGATACGGCTGCTGGACCACCGCAGCAGAATTTCCGAAACGCACCACCGCCAAATGCAATTCCACACTCTCAGCCCCAACAACAACCGGTAATTTATTTTTAATTATAACTATATTTATTTTGTGTTTTTTTTCATTTATCACTTTTGGTATCTGCCGCTCCCTGTTTAGTAAATTATTCAAAGTTTATCTAATATATGGATTAATTTATTATTTTTAGCCACATTCTCAACCGCCAATTCAATCGCATCCAACGATACCACATTCGGTTGCCAATACACCACATTCGCAAGCACCACCAATGCCAATGTCAACTACACCCCAACCTACAGCTCAACAACAGCAACAACCAACAGTTGCAGCTCCTACGACACAGCCCCAAGGTCCACCAACACAGGCACCAAATCAGCCACCACAAGTAATTGCAAGCGATTGCTTTAATTTGAGCGATTTTGTTGACGACTCTTTCCATTTTTCTTTGTAGCAACCACCAAGTCAACAGCATCCAAGCTCTCAACGGCCCAACGCTGTTCCACCAAGCTCACAGGCACCGACCGTTCCAGTTTCGCAAGCATCACAACCACCGGTTGCACAACAAGTAATTCATTTTGATCTTTTCTTCACTTTCGGAATTTTAACATTCTTTTTATTGCCAGCATTATAAAGTGAATTCAATTTTGTCTTTTTAATAAACATTTTTATTAAAGAAATTTCAACATTTTCTTCAATTTTTAGCAACAAGGTCCAGGGCCACAAGCTCAACCTCCAAATCAGCAACAACCTCCTCAGCCAGGTCAACAACAAGCTCAACCCTATCGTGGATATCAACAGCCTCAGCATTACGGTTATGGTCCACCACCTCAAGGTAAATGCACTTTTTTGAGGAAAATCGACCAAACTCTTTTTTGAGATTTTATTTTAGTATACTGAACTCGAAATTCAATGTTTATAAGAGTTAATATCTATACTGAGAGTGATGAGATGTGTTTATTGGAATATTCGTTATTAAATATATTTCCAACAGGGCAAGGTTATCAACCGAATAGCTATCCACCAGCCATGCCACCGTATGGACCACAAGGTTATGCACCGAACGCAGCGCCTCAGGTTTATCACCACGGAATGCCACCGTCAACAACACATCAACCTGGTTATCCACCACCACCTGGTAATCAGCCAATGTATGGACCCCATTCGCAAAATATGTATCCACAAAATGCACCGCCGCCAATGAACTACTATGGTGGCCCAAACCCGGGTAATAATCAATCTAACCATCTTTCATTTGATAAAACTCGTTAAAGTAAAAGCAAACATTATCATTCTAAATTTTGAACATATTTTTAGCTTATCCCAATCCATATCCACCGCCACCACAACAATATCAACCACCAGCACCTGGATATCCGCCAGGTTCTCAACAAGGTACAATCAATAAGACTAACATATCGCATATTGGCAGAAATTACTTTGATTAACTAATTTATTTAATTTTTATGTTCAGGACAACCAATTCCACCGCCAACACACCATCAACCTGCAGCTAATCCTCCAGTGGTAAATTCATTCAGAATTATTTCACATTCTTATTGATTATTTTACGATTATCTTCGCTTATTTGTCGATTATTTTAAATTAATTGTATTCTTTTCTTTTGTGATTCTATCCTTAGGTAAATTCAATACCAACGTCGGCTGCAAATCCAAATCAAACAACATCGCCGCCAAACACTTCAAATGGCAGTCAAGCACCAACTATCGGAGGAGGACCACCACCACCAGTTACAGGGGCACCACAACAAACCCCAGTAACCGGCGCACAGCAGCCACCAGCTCAACCGCCAGCTTCTGGTAAAGCAATGCGTAATGTTTCACACCATTTAATTTAACCCTAATTCAATCAAAAATAGCAATGCAAATAGTTGAGAAAAAATCTTACCAATTTTATCTACTAATATATTGAACTATTTCTTGCTATATATATACCAAATGAGCGCTCCGATTTTAATTGAAACACTTTTTTCCATTTTTAGCTCCCAATTCTCAACCAATGTCAATGGCTCCGCCGCATCCAAATATGCCGCCTCCACCACAAAACAGTCAACCGCCAGCTGGTTATCAGCCACCAGGGCCAATGCCACCACCAGTATCAGGTAAAGTGAACAATTGAACAATTGTACAAAGACCGATCAATATCAATTTTGTTTTTTTCTTTTAATTTCTAGGAGCTCATTCACAGCCAAACTATACTCAGCCTCCTCAGCCCCAAGTACAGAACAGTACAGGTAAATGACTAAATTTCCAGATTCCCTTTTGAATTGTGCGTTAATATTCATTTTATTTATTTCCAACAGCGCCAAATGCTCAATTGCCGCCACCAGTTGGTCAAAATATCTATTCGCAACAATATCAAGGTCCACCACAAGGTCCCTATGCACCAGGTGGCCCCAATTATCCGGCCACACATGCAGGTTATCATCAACAAAACTATCATCCGGCTCAAAACTATCAAGCATACAGGCCTCCACCTGGTCCACCTGCTCCTGGTGCTTACACGGGCTACCCAGGTTACGGTCAACCACAACAATAATTCATCACTCACTAAAAAAAACACAAGCAATCTATTATGCTTGATGCAAACAACGACGCATACAGGCGAACCATAAAACTAGCGCTTTTTAATCGTATACATTTCAATTGATTCCTAATCGACAAATCACATAGAATATTCACAATTTTATATAAAGCTCTCCCATCATACTTCAACACTCTATCGGCAATTTAATGGTTAAAATGTTAAGCATGGTCTATTTTACGATTTTAATCTCTTGATGCAAATGCCAGAGTTAATTGACAACCCAATGAGAAATAAAACATCCGCAATTTTAATGCAACATACATTTTTAACCGTTCTATACATACAATTATACTATATATATATGAATTATTTGTTAAGCTAAACGTTTTTAAAATTGACTATTATGATTGAGTTTTTACTTCAACGGCATCTAAAACGACGCTATTCGTAGATTGATAAAATGAATGAGTTTAAAATGAAATGAACTGGGCGTGGAATTTTCGCAATGATATATAAACACGGTATTTTCGTTAAATTGTCATGAATGAAGGAATTACGCGCCAAATACATTGTGATGGCTGGATCTACTGACGCGCAATTATGTGACACGACTTAAATTTTAGATTTTTATTTTTTTAAACATAAATTAGAATGCGTTTTGATTGATTTGCAATTGTAATCAGTGGCATGGAATTGAAATGATCGTTCTCTCTAGCGAATTTTAGTTGGCAATTTGTTATTAATTTTGCCAATGAATATATCGAACATTGATCAATCATGATAAAACAACGCCCATATTGATATAAATTAGACCGAAATAGATTTCTAGAAAATATTAAACATAAAATACAAAAAAAAATATCGATAATCAACTAAATGTATCTAATTTTATGTTCAATGAATTAAATAATAAAAATATCAAAAAAAATATATTTTCAGCATGTCTCTGGATTCGTTTAAAAATTAAATTATCACAAGATTTTACACACACACGCACTCAGTTTCATGTGATGTAAGTGCACACCAAATATCAACAAAGAATATCTTTACTTGACTCCGTCCTAAGGACTACTGAATAAAGAAAAGATGAATGATAGGTACTTTGATTGTGGAACCTTGTTCAAGATATAACAATATATTCTTCATGAATTGTATTTTCTACGCATTTGATAGGTTTATGTGATATGACACAGGCATGTATCTCACTACTTCAGGGAATATTTCTATCTTTGGTGAATTTCTTTTTCTCTCTCAAAAAAAACCATACACAAAAGAATTCTCTCATTTCAAATGTCTTTTATTATTTTCTTCAAATTAAATCTCATTTCCTTCGAACGTAATTTATTGTTAGTTTTTGTTTAAAAACTCAAACAAATTCAAAGCATTTTTATGTCTTTTGTATAATTAACTTTATAGTTTAAAATTTCAAAAATTCAACAAATAACGAATTTTTTGTAAATAATAAGTTCTCTGCAAAAATGGTTAATAATCAATCAAAGAAAAATATTGCATCGAAAAATTGACTTCATTCTAAAGTATTTATATATTGATTGCAGTCATATATCTTTTGATATTCATATAAGGCAAATTGTGTCTTAAGATTTTGATGTGTTCGAGGCAGTTTCTGTTTTCGTTGATGATGTCGCATCGGTGGGATGAACTAAATAATTGAAACCTAGACAAATGAAAGGAAATGAGAATGAATTGAACAATGTGAAAATGGTTCAGTGAATGTCACACCTGGTATTGGCATTGATTCCAACAGATCTGAGAGTCGCTTTTGTTCCTCGACCAGCCGATAAATATCGGTGCGTTCATGCTTTGAAAGTGGTCGTCGTTTTTGTTTGGCAGCAAGTACCCGTTTATGTGCATCAATGATCTGTTAATTTAAAATGAATGAACTAAGTACCACAAAAAAAAATGTAAATATTACACAAACCTCTTTGTCAATTCGGTCAATTTTGCGTTTGATTTCTTGACGCTTCATTTCCCCTTTGGCTGCTGTTTTCAATAATTTCAATTCATCGCGATTAAATTCGGCAATGGCCTCCAGTTCATTTCGAACACGATTGATTTCATTGAGTACTTCATCGTCTTTATTTTCAAAGTCGCTTGGTTCCAAAATGCCCAAATCAAGTAGTTCCTTCTTCAATCGATTTTCCACATCGATGCCACTCTTTAGCAAAGAAGTGACCGGCGTGCTTTGTTTTTGAGGTGTTGCTGTTAAATTGGTTTCGGTATGATTTTCATCTTGACTAGTTGCATCGGTGGACGGTAATTCACATTGAACCTCTTCATTGTCTTCCAACAATGCCGACACCAATCTCTGCGTCAACGAACCACACACACCTTGATCCAGCAATTTTTCATTCGATTTCTTTGGTGAATCGGTTACATCAGTGGATGTAGAATTTTTACGTTTACTCGGTTTAACGTTAGCATTCGAATTGGCTTGTTCGTTGCGCAAATCTTCAGCTGCCCATCGGACTGTATAATGCGGTCCCAAATCAGGAATTGAAGGCACCAATGGCTCTGAATATTCATCAATTAAATCATCCAATAGTTTAATGTCTTCCTGTGTGATTGGAATGCAGTAAGGTTCGACTGATAGCCAAAATTTGTATGGTACATCGTTTTTGAGTAACGTTGGTTTCGGATTCATATGCGGATGACTGTGACCAGCACTCGGATTTGAATGCGGCAACGCATCAGTGCTTCGGCTATGTTCACCATGTGCCGGCAAATGCGATGAAGTATTTTTGGTTTTCGCATGTTTTGCATGAATGTGTCGACTGGATTCTTTCGACGATGATTTTTTCTCTTCTCGCTTCCGTTTGCCACTTGTGCTGGGCAAACTCAATTTCTCTTTTTCCTTGTCCGAACTTTTCTTTTGATACTTTCGATCTTCCAGAGAATCATATTCCGACTTTAATGTACGGTATCGCGTGGCCACCGATGACAAAAGAGTCTCCAACTCTGTTTGAATGCCATCCAATTCATCCATGGGCAAACATTCATCGTGCGGCTTACTCAAAGCTGAAAATAACGAATTTCACAAATTGTTTGATATTTATTATTCAATTTCATTTGTCAAACCTACCAACACTGTAACGCGGCAAAACTTTTGAGCTATCTTGAATTTTAATGTACGACGATAAATTCAACATCGACTTTGATGAACTGTGACCAGACGAACTTGACGGATGTTGGTGGTCACGATGATGATGATGATGGTGGTGGTGGCTGGATTTGTGTTTTGCCGGTGAACTTGACATTGTTTCTTATCTTTAAAAAGGTAAACGATTCACGTGATTTTTACAAATAAAAATAAAACGCATTGAATTTTCAATTTTGATATTTGAAAAATATTTCAAAAGCAAATTATCCGAAAAGGATATTTATGTTCTACGGTGCATTGATCGCCATCGTGATCACGTAATGTTGAACGTTTGAGAAAAACTCACCCTTTTGATTAAAAAAAAATCAATCTAAATTATGTGTAAATTCGATTACATAAACGAAAGGAAAATCAACCATTTAAAAATAAATTGCACGCAGAAAATATTTGAGCATTTGCTTAGCAAATCAAAATATTTACAAAAAAAGTTTGCATTGTCATTTGAGTGATGAAATTGTATTTGTGAAGCAAAGTGACAGTTCGACTTTTTTTTTCTTGTTATGGCACTTGAACGTCAGAACGACACATAGATATCGTAGACAACTGTCAAATGTCAACGGCGCTTAAATTCGACTTTATTTGTATTTTTATCACTTTAAATCTATTGATATTTGATTGTACGATTAATTTATAGAAAAAACTAAGAAAATTTCATATTCTTACCAAATTCATTTACTTCTTAACTGAAAGATTGAATACTCAAATCAAACTATTTATTCATGTAAATAATAATAATATTGTATTTATTATAATTTCATGAGAAACAAGCTTTGAACTTAAATTTAATTTTTCGATGGATGTTAAATGTCAGATTGCTCAAAAATTCCGTAATCGACTTGTTACGTGTGTGGAATTTGAGATCCATTAAATTATTGAGTGCATGTGCCGGTACTTGATAGTTGATCAGCCGAACATCGGAATGGAATTGAAGGGTTGCAAGATTTTGGCAAGAAAATAATATTGATACATCAAACACAATAGATTCCTTGTCAATTTGGTTTCTTTGCCAATTTTTATTTGAACGATATTCAAAATGCTGTAGTTCTGGAAAATTCATGGATCGGTTGTGTACAAAGCACGAATTCTTCGAAGGATCAAAATGTTCATTAACACACATGTTGATTACATTTCCGCAGTGTTCAACGATAAGATTCCACCAAATCTCTTCAAAATCTCTTCCATCGAGATTGATTTCGATATTTCTAACATATTGTCCAAATGTTTGTATTGCTTCGCCACTTGTTTCACCTATGGTTGCGATAAACGCTTCTCCATTAACTCGATACCGCTTTTCCACAGCTCTTTTAATCAATGTATCAACTCCTTTCCAGCGATTACATAGAGTACACAGGCTACTTATATCCAACAATTCATAATCTAGCAAATGAAAATTTAGTTGACTGTATGTTGCTGCATAACCCACCCAATGCACCAACTTGTTCCGCCAAACGATTGCTTCTTTGGTGACGGTTGCTACCGTTTTATCATGTTCTTTTAACTCAATCTTTACGTCATTGGATCGGTTTTCTGTGGCCAGAAGAAAGTCATTGTGGAAGATATCAGAAAAGTAAGTTTGTTCAACCCGACCATAAATTTGATCTAAGCAAAATTTATTGAGATGCACACACTCTTGGAAAAGTGCTAAAATTTGGTGGGAGTATAAAGGAAGTGTATCAAAATGTACTTCAATGAATAATTGACTCAAATTCGGTAAACCTTTTGCGATCTCTAGCAATCTTGTTGAATTAATTCTGTACACCAATGTTAACGATTCAACCTGTTTAAAACGGTGTATAGCATCAACTGAAAAATAAGAGTCAATAAAGCTGGGAGTTGTATTCAATGCCAATGCCAATGTTTTGATGTTTGGACATTTATCACTAAGTTCTCTTAGCAATGGAACTGAGCGTTCACCAACCGATAATCCAAGCGATTCCAACCGGTTCATGGACTGTGTTGTTAAGTCAAATGATTCTATTGGTTTTCTGTCGATTATGTGGAGCTCTTTTAAATGATTTAAATCCATTTTGACATATTCCATCATATCATTCGCGCCCAATCCATATACAATTAAACTTTCAAGCTGTGGATTATTTTTGCACATTTCTTTGAACGATAAAAATTTTCCATCGACAGAACCATCTATTTTTAATTTTTGTAAATTACGAAGTTGTGATAATGATAAGTTGTCTATATCACACTTTCGAAGTGTTAAGTGCGTGATATTCGAATGTTGGGAAAAAGTATATGGTGAATCGGTGAAAGAACAATCACGAAATTTAAACTTTTTCACTCGTTTTGGTTGCATGATCCAATGATTATCATGTATATTATTTATCATGCGCGCACTGATTGATGTGATAACATTTTCGAAATGTTTAAACAAAGAACGAACCTGTTCTTCATAAAGTGTTTCTCCGTCAACCAGAAAATAATTCTTGGTATATCTTTGTTTAAACACACTTTTCGTGATAGAATCGAATCGGTAACTAATGTGAGCCAAACGCATCAAATCAATATCGTTCACTTTACTAAAAATCTTCGATAGGATTTCAGCCGGAAAATACTCTAAGTTTGAAATTTTCGGGAACAATCCATCAATAAAATAGATTCGGTCATCTTTGCAGTCAATTTTTGCACATTTTATTGGCCGAATCTATATAAATAAACACATATAAAATGAAGATTGATAATTGAATGGCAATTAATGCGTAAAAAAGATTGCTCTTTTATATGTATTACCTGATCTTCAGTTACTGAAGATTTGTGTCTCTTTGTGAACATTGCCTTTGAAAACCTCAATATTTATGGTATAGCTTTTAGTTTCTCATGTTTGTTTGAATAAGTTAATTTAATGTTATTTTTTTTTTGTTCACCGCCTCAAACTGAATTATTCTACGAAACGTCAGCAAATTAAGTGTTTGTGTTATGCCAAATGATATCATAGCTATCAAAAAGCATCTTACAAATGTCAAAATCTATTTTTGAAAAGTTTGGACGTGACACGAAAAGTTTGGCCGTGTCAAAACATAGTCAACTTTTTATAATAACAATCAACCGATAAATCACAGTGAGCTTACTTTTTTTAGGGTTTGTTTCTGTGCGTGAAATAATTAAATTTTTAATGGATTGATATGAATCGGTATTTTATTTGTCAAACAAATACGTGATTTTCCTGTTGAAATGAACAATTCTTCACAAAAAACAGTTTTCTTTATTAAAAATGTTTATAATAGTTCAATGGCAATTGCAATTCCCATTCCACCGCCAATGCATAGTGAGGCAACACCTTTGCGTCCGCCAGTTCTTTTCAATGCATATATTAAAGTAACTAGTACTCGACAACCAGAGGCACCCAGTGGATGACCTGATAAAATGAAATAGGAACGCTGGTGTTAAATCGGGTTCAAAAAGCTACGAAAATGAATGAAATATTTACCGAGAGCAACAGAGCCACCATTGATGTTAATTTTTGACGGATCAATGTTCAACTCTTTATTAACGGATACAGATACAGCCGCAGAGGCTTCGTTCAATTCATATAGATCAACTTCATCTTTGCTCCATCCGGCCTTTTCAAGCTAAAATTGATCGCATTTATACAGTTGAACTATTCAAAAGACTTTTTTATACTAACCACAACTTTAACTGCGTATGCAGTGCCCATGCCCATGATCAGAGGATCAAGTCCGGCTTGACCAAAGGCAACGATACGTGCCAAAGGTTTAACACCACGCTTTTGCGCCTCATTTTGTGACATTAAAAGCACAGCAGCTGCCGAGTCATTTATTCCGGATACATTGCCAGCAGTGACAGAACCATTGTCATCAAAACAAGGTTTTAGTTTTGCTAGTGCTTCAATCGTTGTTCCATGTTTTGGAAATTCATCTGCGAATTCGTGTTTTTTTTTTGCAATGAATTCAAAAAAACATAGGGAATTATGTAAACCAGTTAGTTAAAAAAAGAAAATGGTTAGTAGAAAATGTAGAAATAGTTAGTGAAATATTAGATCGTCGGTTAGCAGTTTAATAGAAATAAGTGCGTCAAAAAAAAAAAAAAAAAATTAGTAATCAATTTGGAGAAAATTAGTTATAAATTTAAAAGTATTAGTTTTTTTATTAAATGGTTTGTCGAATTTCGTTAAAAGGATAGTTCATATGTAAAAAAAGGTCCGCCGTTTTTTTTTAATAGTTGGTAAATTTTTTAAAGAAAAATTAACTGAAAGTTTCAAATTTTTTTCTCCAAAAATTGCATTTTTTTAAAAAAACATCAAATTTCTTTTGATATTCTTGTTCATAGGTTCTGACATAGTTCGCATAGGTCGCATTGACCCTCCCCTAGGGTCCAAGGACCTCTCTAGAATTTTGAGAAAATATTCGATTTTCCTAGGGTTTTTCACAAGGAATAAAACTATTGCATTTGCTTGGGATATTAAATTTTGCTGGAGTTTTTCAGAGCGGGGACCCCCCGTAGATTTTGGGCTGTGACCCGTTCCTAAATTTATTATTGTCAGAACCTTTCTGTTCTTGTTCGTGGTTTTGCTTTACTAAATTTTCTCAATTCAATAACATTTTTACAATAAAAAAGTTTCATGGATGAATGACAAGTGCAATTTGAATTTTTCCAATGAACTTACCTTTATCAAACAACGTAAAACCATCTCGGCCTTGAATTGGAACCGGTACAATTTCAGCATCGAAATAACCATTTTTCTGTGCCGTTTCGGCCAAATGTTGTGAACGTGCCGCGAATGCATCTTGTTCTTCGCGGGTATTCTTGTATTTTTTATTACAATTTTCAGCAGTGTCACCCATGTGAATGCCATGAAGTGCGTCAGTAAGTCCATCAAGCAATATTGTATCCGTTAGGTCGGTTGATCCCAACTTAAAGCCTGATCGTAAATGAACTACATGAGGTGCTGAAGACATACTCTCTTGGCCACCGCAAACCAAAACACTTGATTCGCCCGCTTTAATCGATAAAAAGCCAAGATATAAGGACTTCAAGCCAGAACCACACAGCATATTCAATGAAAATGCAGGCACATTTTGTGGAACGCCAGCTTTAAGTGACGCTTGACGTGCAGGATTTTGACGAGCGCCAGCAGATAAGGTCTGTATTCAAGTGACTTAACTCAGTAAATTCACTTCGGAAAAATTAATTTGAATTCACTTACTTGTCCAAGAATAACTTCATCAACATCGGCCGCATTCACGTTGGCACGATTTAACACTTCTTTCACCACAATCGCACCAAGATCCGATGCAGGCAGCTTCGATAACGTTCCATTCAAATTTCCTATCAGATAAGAAAAATGAATATGGCCATCTTATCAAAAACCTTAGGGAAAATAAAATCTTTTACCGATTGGTGTTCGGGCAGCCGACACTATATATACGTCGCTCATTTTAATACCGTTGTAAAACTATTACGAGAGAGGATAAATAAAAATGCAACTTGAATCGCCTGATATAGTATGGAAGAAAGGAATTGATTAAATTTGAAACAACTTTTCGAAGCCGTGTTTGTTGATTGCCATCAAAAATGTAAATTTGAAAAAAGTGTCAAAAAACTGAAAAATTATTTATTTTTGAAAATACATTTTTGGATTCAAAATTTGATGTTTTCATATATGAATCGGTTAGAATATTCATGACACCGGAACATTTTTTGGAATAAAAGGGCAACATGTATGCATTTTTATTTTGAAAAACTCCTTGGGGTCACGAAAATTTCACTCGATTCCTATATAATTGTTGTTTTTTGGAACTGAAAAACTATAACTGTGTTGGCAAAAACGATCTATTCTTTTGAATTAAGTTTCAACAATATTTCTAATGTATAAAGAACTCACTTGAAATCACACTTCTCTAATTAAAAAAATGCAAACTGAATGCAAGAACTGGTTTACTTGAATGATGAAAATCGTATGATGTACGCTATCGTTGTAGATAAAGACATAAGTAGTGTGTGACAGGAGTGGGGAGATAAATTTCATTACAACTAAAATTTGAATAATAAAATAAGCAACCTGAATCCGGGATTCTAGTTTTATAAATTATTCAAATTCGAATTCCATGCATTCATTTAACTATTCAATTGATATTCATAATATTCAACTTTTTGACGTTAGTTTTATACATTTTGAAAAAAATACCCAGCAGTTGGCGGTCAAATAAATCTAATCTAATGGACATTTTTGAAGTTTGGCAGACTGAAGTGGATTTTTATTTTATATAAAATAAATAATTTTCTTCTTGAAAAGCATCTCAAGAGCTTTCCAATTTTAATCTAAATCGTAAGAGCTATGACGTACAAGTTGAATTGCTTCTGAGTTCTGACGTTCGCGTTTCCATTTGAAAATTTGTTTGAGCGAAAATTGAAAAGAGCAAAAAAAAGTCTTCACTTCCCTAGGGATAAGTTGCTGTTGGATAGGTGCGATAATACAACCCTATCTCTAAGCCAGACAATATATTTAGCTGTCGTCATCTGGATATTACAGCTCATCTGGATATCGTCAGCAGATGATACGAAGTGAAAACAATAGAAGTGATTGTTATAGGTATTACTTTAACAATCACTTCTATTGTTTTCACTTCGCATCATCTGCTGACTGCATCCAAATGAGCTGAAATATCCAGATGACGGCAGCTAAATATATTGTCTGCTCCAAGCATTCCCATAGCAATATAGTTTCGGAAAGTTATGAATATTTATTTTTTATGGTTTCAGTTTCTTTTCATTGAATAATAAATGGATGTATGAACAATATGCAGTACATAATTTACGGCTTTGTTGTTACCAAGTGAACTCAACACACAAGTAATATATCTATTTAGTTTGATGACATGCATTTTTTTGCAACTTATCTCCCTTATCTCGTATATATTTCAATGTAAAGAGGTTCAAATTACAACCTTTCAATGACTTATAAGTATTATTATTATATCACTATCTAATCTGACAAATCATGCGGGGGCCTAATAAAAAAAGTACTTCAATTGCCTTTTTTAAATTAAAATAGCCTATAAATAGGGGAGATAGAGCGGAATGAGTCTAAAAAGAAATTTTCTTTTTTTTTTTGGAATTAAAAAAATCGATGACATTTTTACATTCCGCTCTTCATTGGAATCGCTGTATGAAAAATGAAAATTAATAAAAAATGCTTTGATCTGCCTACTTAAAAAAGACTGCCTTTAGATCAGGAAAGCAGAGCCAAATGATTCATTCAGGCTTTTCATGTCTAAGTAGTCAAAAAGTCAACTGGTTCTTTCTGTATTCGTTGTTTGCTGCAATTTTTTCATTTGACAAAATTATTCTGATTTAATTATGTTGAATCATTTTTTTTTTAAATAATTCATTATCATAAATATTCAACTTTATGCTGATTTTAAATTCAACTGGCGCTTTAAATTTTGGTAGAAGCAAGTTCTTGAAGGACCATTTATTAAAAAGCAATAAACAACAATTTAAAACGGTACAACAAGGTTGTACAATGCACATTTGATAGGTTTTTTTGTTGTTTCGTTTTGTCTTCATAAATATTACCGGGTGCTAGTATATTTTATTTTTGAAATTACCATTACCAAACAAAAAAAAAGTATGTTTAACATGACGACAATAAATGAAAACAGTTATTTTTCTTATAAAAAAGAAATCACTTTGCCGCATTTATTTCAAAACAATAATACACACATACGGTATTATGACATTTGAACATGGCGCCACGTGACTAGCATGCATCGAACCACGATTCACGCAACGAAACAAAAATAAAAAGCCGTGGTCGTTCGTGCGCTTGGGTGCTGTCAAATTGCATGAATAATAAATGAGAATTTTGCGTACCCTTCGTTTGCTTATACGACAAACACATTCGTTTATTCGCTTCGAGTCGTGCTGTATATGTGCATGTCTGTGTGCACAATATATATTTTTTTCTCTCTTTCTTCATGGTGTTGATAGTTAATGAAACAGCGTTTGTCGTAAACAAATTTATGAATTTAGTTTACGATTGTTTACAAATCGCGATGTGAATATCGAGAAAAAAAGACGTCAAAATAAAATGTTTGAAATAAAGTTGAAAGAAGCCACATTGAAAGCGAAATAAAAGGAATTCAATAGAAAAAAGAATAGTGAATAGTGTATATGGTATTGAATTGCTAAAAATAAAGCCGATGTTAATAGAATAAAAAGAAGGCATCAAGTGCATTAGTATCGCCCAAATCGGTAACACGATTGAGCGTATGCAGTAGATTTTTCAATAAAAAAAAAAGTGCGAACAAAGCCAACGAACCAACAACAATATCGCCGAGCGCAGAGAGATAGAGTGAATATGTGCAAGATGTCAGCCAAAGTGGTACAATTGCAACTAAAATGTTATTAAGTTGCAAATTCGAGTGGGTGTTGGATTTATAATAATCAGCACAAAAAGAAATCGGAAATTTTTAAACACAAATGAAAAAGGTGAATGGTGAACAAAATTGAAATGATTTACGTATTTTTATTGATTATTTTTGGTTGGTGAGCGGACGAGTATCGAGAGTGAGTGTAATTGGTTGTGTTATATGTAGAGTGTAGTACATTTATCCGTCTCGGGTCGTTTGTTACTTGTGTTGTATGCTTTCTGTGTGAATGAGTCCATCGTAAAAAAAAGAAGTAGGAAAGAAAACATATCCGTGTCTGTAATAGGCGTGCAGTACAGCCAATGTTCCGCATTCATTTTTCGTTTCAAAATCAGACTGTGACTTTTTGGCAAATTTATCGACGATTTAAATGCATTAAACTACATTTGTTTACATACAACATTGAAATTAATGTGAAAAAATTGTTTGTGGTTTTTTCTTCTTTTATTTTCCTCTGCAGAATTCTAGTGTCGATGGAGTCGCGTATTTAGAGCATGAGCTTAAAATAGAGTCATACCGCATCAATAATTCAGTGAAAAAATGATGTCGACACAAACGACCGAAAAGAAAACAACGGTGTTAACAGCAACACAAAATGCAGTTTCCGATGTCATCGAGAATAATATCGAGAGCATTGAACATGTTAAAACGGAAATGGAAAAACTAAAAATAGACGAACAACAACAGCCGCAACTTATCGACTTATCAGTTGAGAATAACCAGCAAAAACAAAATGCAGATAACCAACATAATAATGGTACAAAGCAAGATACAAACAAGGAAACAATTTACGCAACACCGTTACGAAAACTCGACCGACCAAAAGTAAAAGCAAGCACAAACCATGAGGCAAAACCAAATAATAGTGACGACATAAATGGAGGCACCGCCGAGGATAGGCATATACTGAATTTTCTCAAAGACACCAGTAAATTGCAAAAGAAATTACAACGTTCGGGTTGCGGCAGCGGAAATAATAGTTCGGGCGATAGTGATTATGCGAAGGCAAATTTTTCGTCACTCGCACAGGAACAACATTTTGTGAATTTAGTACAACAGAATGTCATCGGATACAGTGAAAATGTTACGCACGAGACTGATACAACGAATAACGACGACGAAACCGCACCCAAGGGAGAAACATCGTTCGATGCCGGGGCTGATTTGAAATTGGTACCGTTGAACGGTTGTAACAATAGAGAATATTTACCAAAGATTTCCGATGTTTTCATCAAACGTGAATGGATCATAAAACTCATAGCGCTGTGTTTGGAGCAAAGACTGACGAAACAAACAAAATTGTCGTCAATGGCTTTGGGCGATGAGGCTGTCGGTGAATCGCATAAAAAATCCGCGTCATCACGAATCCAACAAAAATCGACGACGTCACAACATAGTGGTGTATTTTTACTCGGCTCAAATGGTTCGGGAAAAACATCGATTTGTAAGCGAATTATCAATGGCAATACGGGCACACAAGGCATGCTTAATCGAAAATTACTGTGTTGCTATTTTATAAATACACAAAATGCCGAGTGTCATTCGTTGAGCACATTCATTCGATGCATTGTTATGCAGATCTTATCGCATTCAACACTTTTATCGTCAAAAGACGATGCTGACAGTGCGAATCAATCGAAAAATAGCAATGACATTTCATCAGACACGGCCGCACTTGATACCACTCTAATGGATACAACATCGTTGCTAAAACCAAATGAGGATGAAGCAAAAGCATCAACATCAGCCGATAAAGACGGCGCAAACAACGAAGAGAAATCGATAAAAACACAAATGGTACGTCAAAATTCCGAAACAAATAAAAGCGGCGTAAAGAGCAGTAATCGTAATTCCACCTACGATACATATCCGCCAGCACAAAAGGCGAATGACGTAAAACCAGCCGAACAAAATCAGTGCTTTACACCAAGTAAATCTAAAACGACACGTGGTTCATCGAAAATTCCAGTTAAAATCGGCAATAAATCTGGCTCACCGTCGATGACAACAACGGCTAAAGAAACACCAAATACATCACCGGCTAAAAAGACGAACGAAACCAAATCAATTATTCAACAGAGCGAAAAGATTGAAGAACCAAATGAAGATACAAACGATGCACTATGCACAAGTGTCGAGTATGAAAATGTGGAGAGCCGTAAAAAGAGCAACGAACCAAAGACCGATGCAAAAATAACAACCGCCGTGGAAAATGTCGAAACGAAAATTGAAAATAATCAACCACAATTACCAACCAAAACCAAATCATGCCTTCAAATGATTGCCGATGAATATTTTGCGATTTTAACACAAAATCCGGAAATTATGGACAGTTTGAATGCAGATAACATTGAAAAGAATCCAGATGAATGTTTTAAAAAAGCCATTTTATATCCATTCTTGGAATTGCAACCGCCAAAGTCAGCGTTGCTATTTCTAGTCGATTCCATCGATGAACACTACATTAACGAAGAAGAAAATGTGATGTCAACATTAAAAGGCAATACGTTGAATCGGAGCAGAACGATTGCCGAGCTGCTGTCGAATAATTTCCATTTGATTCCAAAGTGGCTGTTTCTAGTGTGCACAGCGAAACGACAAAGTCGACATATTGTCAAGAAATTCAATGGATTCAAGAAGATTGCATTGGACGATTTACGTAAGAGTCATGTTGTTAAAGATGTACAAGAGTATATTATAGCACGTTTGAATGCCGATTTCAAGGGTCAAATTCAATTCTCGGCAGACATAATTGATTGTCTCAATCAACTTTACATTAAATCGAACGGTTCGATATTGTACTTGGAAAAAGTATTAAGTGGCATACGGGAGAATGTATTTTCATTTCGTGAAATCAAATTGATTCCATGCACGCTGAATGGTTTGTACTTGTACATTTGTCAGAAATCGTTCAATAAAAAGCAGTACAGTAAAATTCGTCCGATCTTAAATATATTGCTGGCAAGTTGTGATTTCGTTGATTTAACATTCGTTATGAATTGCCTACGTACCCATAATTATACGATCGATCAACCGGAATTTGATAAGCGCATCGATGCCATGAAATATGTGCTGACATTCAACGATGACAAAACCAAAGTGAAAATCTTTCATAATTCGTTTAGCGATTGGTTAAGTGATGTGAAATTTTCAACGAAAAAATTTCTATGCAGTGTCAACGAAGGGCATGCCATGATATCAATGTATTATACGCTGGTCAGTGATACATTGTGTCCGAATCAAGTGCTTCGCTATTTTGGCCATTTAATTAAATGTGATGAATATGCGAAAGGTAAAAGTATTAATTTGGATCTCATTCTTATTTTATTGGAGTCAAAAGCAAATCTGGTCGATTGTTTCTATGTGAATGCATTAAATTGTTGTGCCGTTTGTGAATTGGATTACAAACAAACGTATTGTATGATGCCAAGAATGCGAACAACCATCGAACGATTTTTGAATAAAACACTTTGTGATGAAGTTTTGGATTTTATCAATGATTTCTTTAAACCGAGCCTACCAACAAACACAAAAATACTCAAGCTACTCATTGAGACGGGCATTAATAATGCAGACTGTCAATTTTCATATGATTCATTGATTACGTCACCGGTGACGGAAGATAACGATGAATTGGCCAAATTATTGATAAACAGTGAGAAATCGTGTCAACGTAATAACAGCAAAGATACCGACGCCAATGAATACCAAGAAATTATGTCACCATCTTTGTCACCGACAACTCAGAATCAACGTAAACGCGACAACGATGAATGTTCAAATGGCGATGATTTAGCGCAAAAACATCAGCTACTGTCGTGCGGAAAGGCATTGATTCATTTACTTGCGAACGAAGGTAATGTCGCAATGCTCAAGAGAGCTTTAAACGCTTGTAAGAAAGACGGTAATGGTTTGGCCACCATTGACCTAGAAGTTGAGGATGAGTGTGGACAAACCGCTCTGAATATTGCAGCTCGCAATGGACATTTTGAAATTGTCGAATTACTGTTGAGTTTACGATATGTTTGCACTACGTCGCATCAAATCAAACATGTCAATGTTAATCATGCTGATCGCGATGGATGGACACCCTTGAGATCAGCTTCATGGGGTAAGAACATTTCGAAACATTCATTGATTTTTAATCCATTTTTTCTAACAATCAATTAATTTTGTAGGCGGTCACGCGGACATTGTTAAATTGCTCATCAAACATCCGGAGATTCAAATCGATTTGGCTGACAAAGAACAACGAACCGCATTGCGAGCTGCATCTTGGAGTGGTCACGAGGACATTTTGAAAGCATTAATCAATGCTGGTGCCGATGTAAATTCGGTCGATCGACAAGGCAGAACATCATTGATAGCCGCATCGTACATGGGCCATTATGAAATTGTCGAAATCCTTCTGGAAAACGGTGCTGATGTCAATCATCTTGACATCGATGGTCGAAGTGCTTTATGTGTGGCTGCGCTGTGTGGAAGCAGTGGTTACAGTCGTGTTATTTCTATCCTATTGGACTATCATGCAAATGCGGATCAAATAGATAATGACGGCATGTCAAGTTTACTAGTCAGTGCATTCGAAGGAAATGCTGAGGTGTGTGAACTATTGATGGAAAATGGAGCTGACCCAGATTTATGCGATAATATGGGACGAACACCATTATGGGCAGCATGTACAAAAGGCCATGCAAATATTGTAAAATTACTTCTATTCTGGGGATGTAGTATTGATTGCATGGACTCCGAAGGTCGTACGGTGCTCAGCATTGCCGCCGCTCAAGGTAATCCAGAGAGTGTGCGACAATTACTTGACCGAGGCTTGGATGAAACACATCGCGACAACGCCGGATGGACAGCGTTACATTATGCAGCGTTTGAGGGATATGATGATGTTTGTTTGCAGTTAATTGAAGCGGGTGCAAAAATCTATGAGGTAATTACTTTTTTAAAATTTCCATTGTTCAGGTGCTTAAAAATGTTTTTTTAATTCATAGTGTGATAATGAGGGCAAGAATGCTCTTCATATTGCTGCTCAAGAAGGACGAAATAATGTCATCGAAGCATTGGTTACAGCGACAAATGTGTGCATTGACCAAAAAGCTCACGATGGAAAAACGGCGTTTCGCTTGGCGTGCATTGAAGGTAAGCGAAAGTGAATCAAAAAATAGTTTGACAAAAATCTAATGAACGAAAGGTTTCACAGGTAATATCGAGTGCATTGACACGCTAATCAAGTATGGTTGCGATGTAAATTTACGCGATGCCGATGGAAGGCCTACGCTCTATATTTTGGCCCTTGAAAATCAAATTGCCGTTGCCAAGTTTTTGTTAGAGCATTCGAATATCAATGTAAATCTTCCTGATAACGAAGGACGTTCTCCACTCCATGTTGCCTCTTGGCAAGGCCACCTTGAAATGGTTGAGCTACTAGTTGCTCAAGGTAAAGAAAACACTTTATTTGGTACTCAAACATCGAATTGTTCACTAACATTTAATTCTATTTCCAATTGGCAGGATGTGCAGATGTAAATGCGTTGGACTTAGATTTTCGTTCTCCGTTACATTCGTGCGCTTGGCAAGGTAACGACCGTGTCATGGAGATGCTGTTGTTTTATGGTGCCTCGTCTGATCATGCCTGCAAACAAGGTGCTTGTCAATGTTTAATAACATGTTCCTTCTTAGAGAGTATACCAACCTCTGATTTCCTTAACAACGAATGCTGCTATGACAGACAAAATAACATCTGATTTTTTTTCCGTTTTCTTCGTAGGTGCAACGGCTCTCGGTATCTCAGCTCAAGAAGGCCACGAAAAATGCGTTCAAACTTTACTGCAATATGGTGCAAATCCAAACAAATCCGATTTATGCGGTAGAACGCCAATAAAACTGGCTATGAAATCGAATAACTATTGCATTCTAAGGCTATTGGAAAGCGCATTGAAAAGTATGTCAATATAAAACCGGATAAACTTAAATTCAATCTTAAAATGTCAATTTACTTTCAGATGAGGGTTTGAAACAGCAAAAACAACGAAGCGCAGCGCATAAAATCCTTCAATCACCGCCGGAGAAAAAAGCATCAAATGTAAGTAAAATTGTGAAATTGACTCAACTCCAAATATTGAATGAGCTAATAATAAAATCGATCGAAATTGAATTCGTCAGGGTACGGTTTTCTATGAAAATACCATGCGGTCGGATGCATCATCGAATAATGCCAAATTCAATCGGAAAAGCGTAATTTCTAGTCATTCAACCGGAAGCAGTAATAATGAGGTTAGTTTACTGAAAGCGAAAAAAAGAGGAAAATTGGAAAGAATTTCTGAGGAAAACATATTCTTTTATTTTGCACAGACAACGGGTGCTTCATCGTCAACAAATAAAAACTATCAAGCATCACAGTCATCGTCAAAACCAGCAAACCAACAACAATTGCCGGGCAATTATCGTTCATCGATGAGCAGCCATTCGGATATTTTCATGAAAGTAGATGAACAGAAAATCAATTTTGGTGAGTTTTAACAAAATTTGCTTCGAAAAGTGAATTCAATAAAAATCCCATCTATCATTTCAGATCTGAAAATGGATTATTCTGATTTGGGATGCATGTCACCGTTGTACGCAACGCCACCAATTTCACCAGGGAGCGATAATGGACCGAATTTTGACGATCAATTCGAAACGCCGAGCACAATATTCTCCGCACACAATGCAGAAAACAATGACCATTTTGCTCGCGACACTCACATGCGCATCATTTTGGGCAACAGCAAAGAAACTAGTCAATCCTCAAAGTAAGACCGAAGAGTGTTGATGCACCATTGAGCGCCCCCTTTATTAAATCGTTTTTTTCCCTTTTTATTCTCAAACAGGAAATCATTGAAACGAAGTGGCATCACGACAAATCCAGCCGTTCGCTTGTTACGCAATCGTTTTGATTCAGCAGCACAGCTCATACGACGTACCAACAATATGTTATCATCGTCATCGAACAATGAAGGTTCTTCAAGTATCGGAGTCAAATCCGGAACATTTCAATGGCGCAAAGAGAGTCAAATGTAGAGAGATATTTTATTTTTTAAATCAAAGAGATGGTTGATTATACTCAAGAATATCCGGTTTGTCACAAGAGTGATTTTTCGAACAACATTTTATTTATATATATATATACTCAAGCATAAAGTTTGTCCTCAGTCTAAACGTTTTGGTTCCTGCGTTATTAATTTTTTAGTTTCCAGTGTGATTTTCGTTTTAAATTGCGTATCTTTTTTTTCGTCACTTTCAAAACAATATGAGTATTAAATGAATATCTTGGATGCAGTTGAATTACGAACATAATTCTAATCTCGTAAACATGATATAATTATATATGAAAAATTAATCAACTTAGTTTTCCTAGCATCTTTTTTGTGTTGTGACCACCATATGTATACACCACAATTTATATATATACAAGTGAAACAAGCAATTACAATTGTAGTATTAGCCGTAGAGCCGACAAAATAAACGATATTTAAATTATTTCTACACTCAAACACCGGCCTTTTAATTATCTTTAGAGATGGATTTGTATGCCGGTGACATTTTGACTAATTTATTTTAAAATTTACATTTGTAGCGAAGAACTCAATTATTATTCTGAATAGCAAATTCATTAACTTATCTTCTCTTTGTTACTAATGTTCTTTTCATTTATTGAAAATAAATGTGTGTTTTTTTGTTGAAAACAAGAAATTACAAATCTGCTGGTAAGTACTTTGTATGGCATGTATTCTTAGTCGAAATACCAAATCTGACTTGGTTCAGCTCCTAATTGTTACTAACAACTGGAAATGAAAGTGTATTTTTTTCAAGTAATGGTAATTGTGAGAGTTATTCATAGTTCAAAGTTTCAGATAAACAGCTAAAAAGAGAATGTGATTGCGTAAACAGTTTCGGTCCGTTTAATTATGAAATCAGAGCCACTTTTGACAGATGAAATCATAAACACTTGTTAATGTGCTGTTCGGTACTGTTACTTGCAATTTAAAATAACCTAAAAATACATATCAAATACTGAGATTTGGCATTAAAAAAGACACGTTTTTGTATTCAGTTAATAAAATAAATTTAATTTGATCAAAAAAAGATTTTCTTATGTTCATGATTTAACAATAATAATAGATTCTTTTTAGAATTCTTGAGAAGGAATAATAATTATATTTTCTTTTATAGGAACTTAACCTTTCTTTTCTTATTTGATGGAATTATTTATTATTATTTATAAATTGTAATGGAGAAATGCCGAAATATTTTCTTAGAATGAAAGTTTTTAAAAAATTGTTTAATTGCACACAAAACTTAGATTGAAATTATAAATACAACTTGACGCAAGCTGGTGTTGATGTTGAACTGATACAGTCCGTAAGAGTTTATTTAGAGTTGATTACGTCTCAGTATATTTGATCGTGTTGTATCCATCGCTGAATCTAGTAGATACTGGAAATTCAATAGAAATAACGTTATTAATCAACAAAAATTATGACACAAGTAAAAAAAACTAAAAACTTACGTGGATAAGTTCGCCGCAAATTGTCCAGAGTAACGGGATCTTTGCAAGTTGAACACGTGTTATGATTGTAATAATAATTTTATTCTTTTATAGGAATTGTGTTCTTTCTAGAAATTTAACCTCTCTTTCCTTATTTAATGGAATTATCAATGCGTTGTAATGGAGAAATGTGGAAATATTTTCTTCGAATGAAAGTTTGAAAAAAATCGTTTAAATGCGAATGGGTAATCAATAGGCGAAAAAGTTGACGATTTGCATTGAACTTGACGCAAGCTGGTGTTGGTGATGAACTGATTTAGAGTTGATTATGTCTCAGTATATTTTATGGTGTTGTATCTAGTTGACATCGGACATGGGTGACTGTTAGTCCATCTACATCCATGGGATTTTTATCACAACATGGTTCAATATGTCTACTTGTGTTGGGTTGAATTTCAATTTCAATAGTGATTGAATCGTCTATTACAAAACCATTTTCAACGTCCGTCAAATCGTCCCATGTAATATAAGAAAGAACGCCAAACCCCATAGATGGGTTGTAATCAAAAGGATACCCATCAACAATCCTTCCAACTCGATCAAAAGGCGACAGCAGTCTGAATTTTGCAAATGCACCAATCGACCAGTTTTCCGGTCGTTCTTGCTCATTACAGAACAAATGCATATACAGCCAAGTTACTGCAAACCTGGTCTGTATATCAGCTTTAAATTTAAATGGTACGCCATGAACCAAAAACTTCTCAGAACAAACGTTATCCAATGTGTTAAGATTTTTTATGTTGAATTTGTATTTACAGCTTGATGCAGACACACTTGCTGTAGCCATTGTGATATAATATTTTTTATATATGATCAAAAAATGTATTGCCAATTGACTGTCGATTTCTTCAACGAAGTTGATTCTTTTAGAACCGAATATCGAATGTGTCTTTTTACGACTGAACCATGCGGTGTATGTACATTGTACAAGTTCTGCGAAAAATGATCGGCAAACCTCTGCTGTCATTCAACGGACTTTGACAGTTTCAAATGTGTGGGTAAGATTGGCGCTTTGAGTTTAAATCGAATTCGAAATTGCTCAGTTGTATGCAGTGAGTTTGCTATAATGAATTGAACGTTTATATCTTATGTATAATTTTTAATTAAAGTAAATAAGAAGATATTTTCACATTAGAATTTATTATTTCTTTTAAAATCACAGTTGAATTTATTACAAAAATTGAAACATGAACTGCAACCGTATCTGAGAGTTTAAACGATTTTAAATTTAACCCTCCTAGGTATAGTTCGAAATAAAAACAATATAGTATAGTTACGGTCTATTAGACCGTTCATACAAAATACAGGGAAACCAAACAAAAACCAAAACAAAATCACACATTTTTTCAAATTTTTGCATTTTTTTTAAATAAAAACATTGAAAAAGGTTTGAAAGTTAAAAATTGAAAAGATTTCAAGAAAATAATTAATTTGAATCATCATTTGAATTTACATGAGAGCGTTTTTTTCTCGCATTTTGCACACACAACAGTGATTTTCGAATGTTCGCCGCATACATTTTTATTGCATTTGTCGCAACATGTTTTGGTTTTACGATTGATTGAACTTGGACATAAATGACATGCACGTCGTTGTCGTGGTGTAACTGGCGCTTCTTGTTCCTCTTGACCCATCAAATGCTCACGAACTTCTTTGAAAGCCGACTGATTAGATGCATTCATGCCACGCGCTGTTCGCCGTGAGATATGATCGTAAACTAAACCTTCATACAATTCGATCAAAAATGTCTTGCGTTGAAATGCATACTGTTCATGCGTGATATCGTGACTTGTGTTGTAAAGAACAAATGCTGCAACACCACATACGTTGATGAGATTCATGAAGAATGGAAATGGCCATCGATTGGTTCCAAGTTGACATGAGTTTGAATGGCACATTTGATCCCTAGTTTGATCCAAAACATCCACACCGCCTTTTGTGCTATTGTAGACTTCAGATCGATTTTTTTCTGACAGACATTTTGTTGAAATAATAATATTATGTACGCGATAAACAAGATTCAAATTGATTTTTCTTGAGAATTTCAACCTATCTTCTCGTTTTCCAAATTAGTTTTTCATTTTTATTAAACGGATATCATAAATTTTCACCAACTTGATTTGTGAAAATGCTTGATTATGTGTTTCCCATACATTTTGTATGGACGGTCTAAGAGACCGTAACTATACGATCAAGTTAGGATTTTCGTCTTTCTGGATTTTTTTTTTTTACAGAACAGTTTCAGGATTTTAAATGTTATTTTCAATATTTATCCATTATTCTCGTAAAAAGGCGAAAATTTGATGCCAATCGGTCGACGCATTTCCATTTTATGATATTTTTTTTAAGTTTTCGGTCTAATAGACCGTTACTATACCTAGGAGGGTTAAAAAGTGAAATTTTAACGGAATTTTTGACATTATTTGCTTAAGGAATTAAAACAAAGTATGAAAAAAATCTTCGACAATTATATTTTTTTTAAAAGAAACTTACTTTATTTCACTGTGTTCGTATGGGACATTTTTTGAAAAAATATGTTATGACGTGATTGAGAATGTTATAAAAGAACTGTTATTTCGAAGGGCTTTGGATTACTTACCATTTGTATTTATATTTTTTTTTCATCTGAATATGTCATTTCAATTTTAATATCCACATTGCAATATGTTTATTCCTGCGGCATGTATTTTATTCGATTTATTGAAGATTTGTAAGAATTTATATGTTTGATTGAATGAAACAGTCAGTATGAACATTGTTTACGATATCTACTTGATGTTGATCGCGCCAAAATTCACAGTCATTCGTATGAAATTCTGAAACCTAGTTTTTTTCAGGCAGTGAAAAACACATTTACGGCTATATTTATGAGTTAAATACACAAATAGTTTGCTTCTTGGAACTCTTAAATCTGATCAAGTTCTGTCAAAGATTATCAATGTGAAATAAACAAGCACAGCCTTTTGTCGCGTAAATTTTGATGTTGAAGTTCTATATAAAGAAATAAATGTGATCGAATAAATGTTGGACAAAAGTCACTTACATTCACGAATTTTACATATGAAATGATACCATGAAATACATACCTCGTATTTATTTATTAATGATCATGTAAACAGTTGAGAAGGGAATATGAAAGAATAAACAATTTGGTTCCGTATAATTTTCGAATCAGCTTAAGTCGCTAATAGATTTTTTATTTGGAATTCTTGTGAAGGAATTGTAATTGTGTTACATGGTATTGTTGTCATACGAACTAAACGTCTATATTCGTAACGAAATTATTTATGCTTTTAAATATAGATATACTCGATTAGAATGAAAGTTTGAAATTAAATTTGCTTAAATGTATGCGATTGAGTAAAAATAAGAATGAAATAGGCGAAACATTTGATTTGTGTTGAACTTGACGCAAATTTTTTGAATTGAATTGAAGTTCATGACTGTTTTCCTAGTTTTGATTACGTCTCAGCATTTGATCGTGCTGTATCCATCACTGAATCTAGTTGACACTTGAAATTTAAAAGAAATAATTCTATTAATCTCTTTAAATATGGTTGAAATCAAAGTTTTACTTACAATGGCAAAAAAACTGGATGCAAATCTTCCAGAGCAATGGCATCATTGCATGTTGGGCACACTTTTCGAGCTGTCACAGATGTCGTGATACATTCCGTACAGAACAAATGGCCGCATTTCGTTGAGGAAACTGCTTGGTCACCAATAGTTTCGAAGCAGATAGAACATTCTATTTTCCGTTGTTTTTCATCGTCGTCACCATCATCGAAAATGCCAGCAGGTTTGATTTTCATTTCAATGATAATCGAATTATCGTTTACAAATCCATTTTCAGGCTTCAACAATTCATCCCACGATACAAGATTAATTAATAACCAACTTGACGTAAGACACCTGTTTTCAACTTTTTCGATGGCCTTTCCATCTTTTGAAGATACCAATGTGAACAATATTTTTGATTTGTACGATATTTCATCGGCATCCGAATTTGAACTCAAGCGAATTTTGAGATCTGACGATTGACTTTTGTATACTTGCAAGTGGCATGATAATTTGCGAAGGTTGAATTTCGTCGATGCAACAGCCATTAGATTCTTGACATTGGCGATCGTTAGTCGATACAAAACCAGGCAATTTTCATCACAACTCTTTTCAATATTTTCAAAAGTTAATCGACTCTTGTTTTCATCACTTGTTTCGGCTACAATTTCGATTTCCAAAGTGATTGCATCGTCTTTAACATAACCCTTCTCGACGTTCAATAAATCATTCCATTTAATAAAATTCGGAAAACCATAACCCAATCCGCTGTTGTCAAAAGCATAAGCTTCAATAGTGCGTTCAACTGGATTCACTTCATCCTTAGACGATAATAGTTTGAATGATGCAAATGCAGCATGTGACCAATTTTCCAGTATTTCTTTCTTTTGACAGTACAAATAAATACCAAGCCTATCAACTGCAGCACTGGCATTTTTGACAACTTTTACATTCCATGGTACGCCTTGAACCAAAAATTCCGGTGAAAAAATTTGCTTAAGTTTGCTAATGTTTGCTATTTTGAAGTTGAAATTTACTTTTGGCACAGATACAGACACATTTACTTCGGCCATGGTGATATAATATTTTTTATTCCGAAAATGAATATGGTCAAATAACAAAATTACTAATTGGAAATCAATTTCGTCAACGAAATACTTATTGTCGATTCTTTTAGAACTAAATGTGTGTTCTCCGTCAAGCGCTCTTACGACTGAATAGTGCTGTGTACAATTGTACATACGGTTTCTGCGAAAATGATCATAAACCATATACTGTCATTCCAGAGGACTTTGACAGAACGAAATGTGTGGTTAAGATTGTCGCTTTTAGTTTGAATCCAATTCAAAATTGCTCAGTTGGCCACAGTCAGTTTTCAGTTTCAATTGAATTCACTGGTTTTTCGAAAATGTCTTACTAGAGTAAATAAAGGGCAAAATCATGATCATTTTAATTCTCATTTACGTAACCATTCAAAGCGGTCTATTTTATTGATTTATTTAAAAATCAAAATTTTACTGTTATCCATACGCTAAAAAGATAAAGGATTAAAAATTACGGTACTTTAAAAAGTGAGCATATTGACATTAATGTCATAGAACTTGTTTTTCATGGATGTAAATCCCATCGAAATTCATATATCCAAAAATTCTTCATTAGTGAGAAAAATGTTTTTTTTTTCTGCATTGAACGGAAACAAATTTTCGTTCGTTTGCCATTAATTTGAATTATATGAATGTTTCATACAAAATGAAACCCCAAACAGCAGCACCGGCACACATTAATCAAAATGCCGACAAACGATTCTCATTCCTCTGCGTTATAGCGAATCGATGTTCATAAAATGCGCTTATTAGCACTCAATCGACAGGAGCTCATTTATCTATTGTTGAAGCCGCAACATGTTTGACTGCGTATGTGATTTTTCGCGTAAAGTCATGAGTCAATACACTTGCATGAGCGTATATATACACATATCGGTAGAGCGTCGAGTAAAAGACCAAGAATCGTGTCCATACAACGTTTGTGCATGAAATCATAACGCATCGCGCATATGGCAACAGCCAAATCGATGCAATTTGTTTTGTAGCCTGTGCGCGCTTACGTCTAATTTATAAGCAATCTTTTGAAACATGATCAGGCCAAAAGCGGCATTTCTCTCACTCTTCCTCTCTGCCACTCCGCGTGTATGTGTGTGTGTGTGTCGTGAAAATCGGGCGTATCGTTCGAAATAAATAAATGGAACAGATTGGTTTTGGTATTTATGGTCTGCCTTGAATTATTGCTCGTTGCGGTGGTTCGGGTAACAGTTGTGTGTTATTGTTTTCGCGCAAAATGTTTTGGTCTTTCTGCAAGATGCAACATTAAATCATTGATACACAATGTTTATATTTATTTGTTGTTCAATTCGGTTGAATTTTGGTGTTCGGCTGTTTTTATGCATTAATATTGAGCCGACATTAACTTCGATAAACAAGTCATTTTTCAATTAAGCTGCTCGGCCAAAAGGTGAGAACGACGGCTCCAAAACATCCAATTATGTGTTAATAATCAAAGAGAAAGTGCGTACCTTCAATTTTGATTGTCTCACTGTATGCAGTCATTGATTCTCCTTCGCCAGATATGCTCATGTTAGCGGCAAAATATTATGTGTACAAAGAGAACCAGCAAAACGAAGTATATCGCTGGGTCGACGCATATGTGCGTGTTCGATCCTCAAGGGAATCGCATTTCTGCGTATTATTGATGTTTCCTCTCTTGATTTGATGGTTTCTCATTTTCAACTCCCCGAATAAGTGGTTCATGTTCGGACACAAAGAATCCGAAAATGGTCACGAGTGGTGTCAACTGCTGAACAAATAAATCGTGACGATTTGGTTTGAAGAACGAATATTCTATATATTCGTTTGATTGATATGAGCGGGAGAGTGAAAGAAAATATCCCACACAACAAACGTCTTGCTTGAGCCAACAAACATTTCATCAAATTTACTGGTTCAATGTTTTCACATCAAACTCTCGTTCGACATCCAGTAATGCCCATACAAAAGCATCAAATAAATTTTTTCCTGAAATGTTTGCTTTTATTACACTTTATTTACAGAGTGTGGGGATACGTTTTCACTCTATTTACTTTACCATATATACAAAAAAAGCGAGAAATAAAAACTTTTGTTACCATTGGGCTTAATAATAATTTACTTAGTTCGGTTTTCCGGCCATCATTCCAATGTTTACAATGCTTTATTTGTTATACTCAACTCAATTTTAGTATATATTTCAATTAACCGCCACTCGGCTCACTTGTATGATATAAGAAGAAGAGGAATGGTCAGGTGTGTGATATCGTCTATTGTTATAAATAAACCGGATTTAATAAATCGTTGTTTGAGTTTCATTACACTCAAGAATGTTTCTTTTTTCAATTTGATTTGATTTGGACGCCGATCCAAATAAAGAAATCGTATATTTTACTATGATGTTCATTGAACAGATAATTTCACAAAACCTTTTTTTATATCCACCTTATTTGGGATTGCACTTAAGGTCTTTGCAAAAACAGTGGATCTTGTTGACTATATTAAAGGAATGTATTCAAGTAGTCTGGCAAAGATTATCGGATTTGGTCAACGCAAGTCCTTTCCATTTTTGATTGGTACTTGACTCGCAGATGACATTTTTTTTCAAGTTTAAAATTGCGACTGAATGACTCAAGTCATATTTATTAATGAATCATCAATCAAAGGATAACAAAATAAATTCTTCGTCAGACAAAGCGAAAGAAAAGCAGACTATACCGTCATCATCCGATATACTTTGAGAAAATGCTCAAAAGCTTCACTCATATGAAAAACCACTCAATCGAATGCGAGCATTTTCTCCACTTGTGCTGTTCGTTTTCCATAAGGTCCTTTTCCGCGGCACCAACAACACACCGTGTCGCACCAATAAAACGTTGCCACACCATGAAAATGAAATGCACCGCATGCGATGAAGATTAGCAACGCATATCCAGTGCTCAAAAATATTATTTTATCAATGTGTGACTTGTAACAACTGTTCCAATCCTTCAAGTCATTAAAACTTTGTCTCTTTCTCTGTTCGAATTCAATTTTTTCTCGCCAAATATTTCTCGGCAGAAGTCGAAAAAAACCATCGAAAATGATCCAAATTTTATTGTTATTCTCACGTTCTCGCTGAGTTTATTTGTGACATAGAAACAAAAAAAATGACACTGAAATTGATGCTGTTCGAAATAAAGTTTTATTTTTGGCCTGTTGCAACGTGATTACTCGCTGATTGAAGACTCCAGCATTAATAATGAATCAAGTGGACATCGATGTTCGTATTTCAATGAACTTTCAAGAGCAAATACGAGTAGCAGATGTGAGCGTACGACAAAAGAGCAAATAATCGAGCACTTGATGCTCTTTTGTTGTTCAATATACGAATATTTGGTATTTGTGCACCGATTCGATGATGTCGTGCAATTGAAAAATCGGGTTGTAATTTTCTGTGTACTCCATTTTCCACAATTCAATAAATGATAACAGGAACAAGAGGAAAAATACGAGTCCCATTGATTGCATTTAAGTCGATTGGAGTCATGGTTTGCCAATTGGATTTCATATATGGTTGCGTGATAAAATCATATAGAAAACGCTCTTTTTCTTTTTTTGCTGCATCAGCTCCTGTTCAATGAGATATTGAACGAAATTATCAGTTGTAATGAAGCCAACTAGGCAAATGGCCGTTGTCAAGCAAATGGCATATGCAACGAGTTGATATCTTGTGAAGTGGCTTTCCATATCGATACACTTGAATCATTTGGATGTTACATCATCGCAATAGGCAAAATTGGAAAACGTTAGATTATTGCATTTTCGATGTCGCCGATGTATAAACACACAGATGCATCCCCCCAGCAATCCGTTGACCGTAATTTATTGGTGCTGCAGGAAATTTGAATAGATAAATTTATGATTTGAAAATGTTTGAACCCTTTTCCATATGTGATAAAAACAATTAATTTTACTTGCAAGAGAAATTGGGCCGAGTCCGAAGGACAATTCTCTCGAGACAGTAATTTAGGAAACGGCAATTGTCTATATTTAGAATTAAAAGCATTGCACCATTAAATCGATTTTTTTTTGTATTTATCACAAGAATCCGGATTAACAGCCCCGAAAACTTTTTCGGATAATAAATGCGTAATAAACGTCTAGACGCGATATTTTTTATATACGGCGATTGAAAAAAAAGCAACAATTTTTGACGGGTGCGATGTGCCATGTAAAATTCATGTGTTATACTTACAAGCAATTACACTGATTTATATCAGAGGCCAAATAATTTACAACTCGCATTCGATTGATTGCCCCGTAATTGGATATCATTGTGATAACATTCATTTCGAATTGGAAACATTTGTGATAATTTCAGGTTCGTCGAACAACAAACTAACTATAATACACTTGATTACTATCATTTTCAAGTGGCTTACAAAAATACATGATAGTCATGTGACTTGCAACGAGGATGGTAGAAAGACCGAGAGAATCCGTGTGACTTTCAATTTAAAACTTTAATTATGTAAACAATTTTATTAAATCGATAATAATTGGTTTGTCATCGATAGCATTCTCCATAGTCTTCATAGTTTCATAGCAAAATTATGTTGTGTACTATGCTAATTCATGATACCAATTAATATCGGCATGTGTTTACTGATCATTTTGGAATGCGCTCAAGTGATATTAATTTAAGACGTAAATTTGGTTCAATGGATTTGCATAACGATAGAAAAGCAGCATATTTTGAAAATGAAACGATGACATTGTCAGTTGCGTCGTCTGCGCTTATTTGTGTTCTTGCTTTCTCTCTCTCTGTCTGTCTGTTTCGTATTTCGTTCTCGGTTCACTCCACTTCTGAGTTGTCAAAGTTTTTGAATTGTTTGTGTTTGTTCATGATTGTGTTTTAATATTTCACATAATGTCATGATTGATATTCAAATTAGATGGAGGGCAAATAATGTCAATGTGTATGTTTGATGCTCATAGGCTAATGCGGTGTGCGTTCACGCTTAAAATGAATTGCTAATCAGTTGGGGGTCAGTGTTAAATAGAAAATCAGGTTGAATTAGAGAAGCATAAAAGTGTTTATACTTGTTTCGTATCGTTTTGACTGGACAACATGACTCTTTGTTGTCGTTTTACTCCTGTGTATTTTCCAATAAAACCCTTATAAGCACAATACAAACTCAGTAACTCCATATAGAAACACAGATCTACTTTCCAACTTTCGCTCTCATTCCACCATCACCGTCTAATATAAGAACGGAGAATAATAGTCGAAATATTTACATATAGAAAATATGCATTTCCATTAGAATATTGAAACAGTTATTGATTCCGAATTCACCTTTGTTGAGCTGTCGGAGTTCGAGCGGATGGGTGAAGAGAGCGAAAGATAGCATAGTAAATAGCACTTGCAAAAGACTTATGCATTGAATTTTCGATTAAGGATACAGTATACAGAAGAATAGATGATGGTGCGCGTACGTGTGTGTATGGATATAGTGAAATGTGTTTGAGTGTCATACACTGAAATTTCTAATCACGTTCGGAGCGGTGCTTTATTTTGCATCAAGTGCATTTTAAAGTACATATACGTAATATTCATTGGCATTGTCGTTTTGTTCGTTCGTATGCGCTCGAGCATTTAGAAAATGCTTCCGAAAATCTAGCCTCGAATAGACACTCACTGTATCTCACACTACAACGAATAAAGCACTCGTTCCGGGGTATAAATACAAAATTTCGGAAAATGAAAACTTATGCATCTATTGTTGTATGTATCAAGTAGTTTACACTTCACTTGATATTTTGCACGATTCCAATACCATTTCGCATTTATTTTTCGAAAAATTCACCATTTTTCCAACGAATAAACAAAATGCTGTGCACATTTTATATTGGAACAAAACGAAATGAACATACACATATTTTTCGATTGGCATTTTGGATAGTAACTAAGCTGAATGAAGAAAAAAATGTGTCACAGAAAGGCAACCAAGAAAATGAAATGCCACAAAACAAAAAACACACAAACACACGATATTTTCGGGGTAATTCACGTATGTGTGTCATCTCTAGAGACTGTTTGTTTCATTTTTAATGTCCATTGATGGAAAATGTATAGAAATAAGCAAGTCGCTCTAAATCTCAGGTATCGGTGTATTTTCCAAGCACAAAAAAAAAACACACAACAAAAGCTAGTATTTTTTCTCTTAATTTTCTCGGCAGCAATGCAGTCGGGCGTTATGTCGTTCGGACTTTTTGTTTGGAATCGAGAGAAAACAAGACAAATTCTGATTTTCCTGGCGCCATCATTCGAACGCGCTCGACAATTCATTTGCGCAAAAGAGGAGGATTGAACAAACGAATGATACGGAAGTGCATTAGGTCAACATGCGATTAGAATTGAAAATGTTTTCACATCGATTTAGTAAACAGAATTTTGTGTTTGCAATTCGGACTATTCGATAAATCAATTCGGAAAATTGGCCTTCTGCTCCAGCAAGCACAGATAAATCACAGAATCATCGCTTCTCTCTCTCTGTGTGTGTTTGTTCATCCGCTTTATACTACTTACTTGTGTGTATATGTGTCATGTCGACCATTCTCATGTCATTATCCATGCATACATATCATGCCAGCCAAAAATAAATCGACGACCAAAATTGAAAGACATTTTTTTGTGGTTCCTAACTTTTATACTTTATTTAGATCGCTTTTAAATTTAACGAATATAAATCAAAAAAAAAAAATAATTTTTGCCTGAAAATTTTATTTTCAATTTCTTTTTTTCTTAAAAAAAGACATAAAAGACAAAAAAATGATTATTTGCATAGTTTAAGTAATTTATGCTGTTGTTTCTTCATCATATATAATAAATTTGTGATTTAACATTATATAAAGGTTTTGTCAGCGGTTTGTGCGATCGAAAATTCTTAACAACAAATGTGTCATTTTTATGCAAAACAAAAAGTGTGTGGAAAAGGGGCGAGTATAGAGAAAATAATTTATTGATAATTTGAATTAAAAAAGGCGTAAATTCCATGATAGCATCTATCACCGATTCACATTTTTTTTGTGTGTGTTTTCTTTTCATTTTACAATGTAATGGTATGTTTGATTTCATTGATTGTGTACGTTGTCCGTACGGAATGTTATGAATACAATTTTCATGTTCGTGTATCTAAATTGTCTTACGAAAATTGAAATTTTGAATTTGTTTCAATTAAAAATTGAGAGAATGATTTACATTTTGTATTTTTTTTTTATGCAAAGCCTAATAATTTACAATGGGGATATTCGTGCTGGTAATTTGTTTCCAATAAATTTAAAGTGCCTTTTATTGCAAAACGCAATTTCCTGTTATGGCAAAAACGACTCACATCAAAACAACAATATACACCGTGTATTTTAAGTTATCAAAAAAAAATAATAATACGTTAAATTTAAATCCATTTTCATCTTTATCTTTTTGTCTGTTTGTTTTTGTTTATGAAAAAGAAAGAGTTGAGTTCTCTCTCTCTCATTTTGAGTGCTTGTATTTGTCATGTGCGTGCGATGTTGTATCATTACATGTGACGTGTATTGCCCATGATAAGTCCACTTTGTGTTGCTCCTTTGTTTGAACCATATTGAAGTGAGATGATTGTTTGTCCGGCTTTGAGCTGTTCTTCGCTGAATTGTCTCACATTCTTATCGGCCTCTTTCGGACCGATCGATGGTTTTCCATATGGTCCGACCTTTCGGCCAAGCGATTGCAAACAAATGACAACGGCATTCAAATTTTGTCGCTCCCACAGATCAACACTTTGGAATGTCTCTTGATTGGGTACATTGAATATTTTGATACAAACATCAACAAAACCCGTTAAATTTTCCATACATTTGAATGCCATTTTGCTTTCGTTGATTTTTTTCACCGAGCCCGGTTTGATTGCGTTCACCAATTTGCACAGGATTACACCGTCTTTTAGCACTTCAAAAAAGTTATCCATATCGCCAGATGTATTTATTGGCTCGCCGGTGATTTCCTTTACCCATTCCAAGCATTCAGCTGCCAATTCTTCGCTGTACTTCGAATTGATCTGGAAAAAATGCAAACAAAAATAATTAAACAAATATTCGTGCCAATGTAAAAACGATGAGTATTTTCTTAACGGCTAAAATTTTAAACTTTTTTAATAATTCGATGTATATATAGTCCGAAAATAGCGCGTGAGTGAGTGATCTTTTGACAGAGATGCGATTCACGATCGTGGCAGGCGGCTGGTCAGGTTCAATGCGCAAACGCACGTGTCGAGATGAATCTATTTTTATTTCATATTTTGTGTCGTTGTCAATAGTATAAGCAAACAGTTTGCCTTGCATTTTCGTTCATGAACACTGACAACCACAGTTACTTGCCAGAGAAGCAGTGAAAATGACGCAGAATTTTCTCGTTTTCAACAAAAAAATCAGTGTGTGTGTGTGAATGAAAATATCAGAGGCTGACATTTGCTTACAGCAAAAAAAAAACTAGAGGATAAATCGATTTGTGTCAGTGTGTTTATTGATTTTATGTGATGATGGCAATGTTATCATGTCCATTGTGTTTAAAATCGTGTTTTTCCAGTATCGATCTATTGCGTACAAGTTTGATCAGTATAATAAATCGACCGTTGGTTTGTCCCATATGCAATGACATACACCATAGTCTCGACGATTTGGCAACACATTTGACACAGCACATTGAGATGCCCAGCCAAATTGGCCAAAGTGAACATTGTGACGTCATTCACAATATAAATATAAACAATGACAATAATAATAATAATAATAGTACAATGATTGAAACGAATAGCAGAGCGAATCAATTCGATAGAGTGGAGCTGCTAGAGAAATGTGATGGAAGTATGACACAAAAATTAAATGCACAATCGCTTATGTTGCCATTGCTGTCACCGTCACCGTCGTCGTTGTCGCCGTCGTCATTGACGGCCACCGTATCACCAGTTGTTTGTAAATTTGAACAAAAAAGCAACATTAATAGTGCACAAATCGAACGAATCGCTGTTCGGCCATTGTTTATTTGTAATTTGTGCGATTGTTCGTTTCGTTCGCAAGAACTTCAACAAATGCATATGCAATTAGTGCATGAGATAAATATAAAGTGTAAAGATGGTAAATTAACAAACGCACGTGTAATATCATCAACAATGCTGCAATGTAATTTATGTCCAAAACGTTTCAAAATGATTGGTTCACTGCGTTTGCATGTTCGTATGGTTCACGGAGTATCGCATGTATCATCATCATCATCATTGCCGCAAAAAATACGCACACCAAATGCAGTTGCCGATACCATCGATAATAGTGCAGTGCAATCGACAGGAAACAATGAAAATATGCTCGGAACAGGTGGAGCGATACCATCATCATCAGATTCTACGTCACCGACACATGTGAACTCAACCAATCCACCACTAGTTCATAACAATCATTGTGATTACTATAGTAATTATGGAGTAAGCAATGTCGTTACTTTTGGCAGCAAAAGCACTAACGGTGGCGGTAGTGATGATGGCGGAGGTGGCGGCGGCGACAATGAACAAAAATACAACGAAGGGTTATCCAACGGAAATAATAACAGTAAAGAAATGATCACCAGCACCGAAGATCGTGTCCATAAATGTGATATTTGTAATAAACGTTTTACGACCAAATACTTTTTAAAGAAGCACAAACGCTTGCACACAGGTATTAAATTTGAAGTTGTCGATAATTTCTGCTTTTTTTATGATTCTTCACGTTCCGAAAACTCACTATACACTGCATGAGTGTCTCTGTGTGTTTGTGGAAACGCCATCGTATTCATAAACGCATCGTATATTTAATACTCTTTTTTTATTCTTACACTGTCTCTCGAAATTCAGGTGAAATGCCGTACACATGCGAGTTATGTCATCGAACGTTTACATTTCAACAGTCATATCATCGACATTTATCGTATCATACAAACGATCGGCCACATAGCTGCTCGATTTGCGGACGTGCTTTTAAAGAATTATCCACATTACACAATCATCAAAGAATCCATAGCGGCGAAAAACCGTTTGAATGTGAAACATGCGGTTGGTGGTGATTGAATATAAATATAAAAAAAAAACCGAACAGAAAAATCATTTTATGAATCGTCTTTAAATGGATTTTCTGCTTTGATTCTAACAGCATAATTGAATCCATTTGTCATATCAGAATATATCGTGTGTGTATTAATTCTGCTTTTTCTTTCTCTCTTTTCTGTGTAATTCGCTGTGTGTAAATTTATAGGTAAGTGCTTTCGTCAGCGTGTCTCATATTTGGTTCATCGTCGGATTCACGTAAGCATATATACAATTTTTATATTTCAATGTTTATTTAACCATATAGAGTAACGGTTGCGACTTCAATGTCATACCCATCCGGAAGTTTATACCAAATTCGGATAAATTTTCAAACATTAAACCGACTCAAACGCATTTCTCGTGTATAAATCATTTTCATTGGAATTTTTCTATTTTTTTTTTTAATTTTATTTCTCCTTCTCTCTCTTTCTCTTTTCACGCGAAAATCTATATGTAGACGGGAGTAATGCCATACAATTGTACGATGTGCGATAAAAAATTTCGCTATAAAATTTCGTTGCGAACACATAAATGTAGTGGATTTATAGTGGCCGAACATAAATCACCGCTAAACAATGACACAACCTTCAGAAGTAACGAGCATCAGCCAGATAATATGTCAACATGTTCACAATCGCTAGATGAACTCATCACTGAATCATGCAATCGAATGGGCATCGTCGATCAAACCGAACTAAATCCATCCGATTTATCAACGTATTCAACGGCTGCCACCGAAACCGGTGACATCAATTCAAACACGTCCATGTTACATTTTGAATGTGATTCATTTAATTTGAATGATTTAAGTTTTTGCACAGGCGAAACGAGTAATACAGATTTGGCAAATGTGATGCCATCAATGGATGAAATTTTTCCACAAACTATGGAAATAATGAACGCATTATACGATGATATGAACATGAATAACAGTGACCTACAGCATTTTTACGATCCAACATCACAACAATAAGCAGTGACCGTGCCGTTAATTTGTCTACATTGTTCGGATATAGTTTCAATAAAATCAATGATTTTTTTTTTTTAAACAAAAAAGCACAAATAAAATTGCACGTACTTTGATGTACACCGAAGGTATTCTCTCTTTTTTTTCGTTTTGTTCACACTCATCGTTTAGTCATAATCCGAAATATGAAATCGGTGTTAATGTGATATGCAAATGAATAGATTTTATTCCGGCCGTTTTCTTGGTATGACGTATGGATTGCAATGAGAAATATTGATTTATTAAAACCGCATTCTCTGTGCAAGATTTCGAATCGCCAATCTCATTATTCATGATTGAAAGAGAATGATGATTCATTCGACGCACATACACACACATATGTGTGATGAATTATCGATAGCGATTATGACAGCGACAGACAGATGTATCAAAATTTTTAATTGAGATTAACACGACAGCTGGCCACCATTCACATTCAATCAATATGGTGTGAGTGTGCGCCAAATACCAATACTCTGCACACATTTTGGTTGTCGTTGTTGATTTTTTTTTATCTGTTTGTTTTCGCATTTTGTCAATGATTTCCGTTTTTGGGTGTGATTAAAATTCGAATACATATCCATACACTGGCTAATCATTTGTTATATATCGATATATTTATAGAATATAATGTCATATTATGACACATCATATAAATATATTATGCTCATTGGCCAATACCAAATTTAATTTTCGGAGCCAAATCGATTTTCATTAAATTAATTTTAAATTTCAATTGGAAATTATTTATGTATATTATTTTGAGCTCATCGCATCATAATACACAATTTATACGCATTTTGTTTTGTCAGTAGTTTATGTATTTTTCCACTTGAATGTAAAGTATTTATATATTATCGTGGCTGGGCGAATTAAAAAAAGCAAAAACACAAATTGTTTATGATAAACAGTGATAAGAATGGCATTGAAAGCCTACACAAAAGGCATTTAATCAGCACGCAGCTGGATTACATCATTCACAAGTCAAAAATTAGCGATATATCAAATGCACGCTTTGTTTATTAGCAAAAAATAAAAACGACACCGTTTTGCTTTTTTTCCCAGTAAACATGTAAACTTTGAGTTTGTTCTTGAAAAAAATATTTCACAGTATTTTTTTTTTTGTGATAAATAATAATGAAATTTCCGTCATGTGGACAATTTTGGCATACCAATATTTTGACGCATTCCCTTTTAAAAAGTCGCAGAAGGCAATTTGATGTCTCCTTGGAGAAAACCGTTTATTCGTTTGAAGATTAGAAATGATATCAAATAATTTCCGGCCCTGGACCGTTCCATTCCAGTCTCGCGACACTCTTATTTAGAATTCTCATTTCCATTTTCTCAGCAAGTTTGTAATGACTTTGTCAAACTGAATCAGCAAATTATGGTTTTTTTTACAAACTTCGTTTGTCACAAAAATCACATAGGTATCGTCGCCGTCTAATTTGAACGTGATTATGTGATTGTTTTGAAATACGAACAAATCCATTTAGAGACATTACACGAGGCCAGAATTCGAGACAATAACGAAACAAAAATCATAATTTAGAGCGTCGATAACTTACGATATAGATGCCAACAATGGCATTTTCCATATATATACACGCATATGTGTATCAATTCATAAACGGACTCAATTCGAGCACACAATTCGTATGTGCTTTTCAATCGAAACAAAATGGAGCGAAAACAACTACAAAATGCGAAATAAATCGATAAAAATTCGGTGTTAATCGGAACAATATAATAATAAATAATTTGCTAGCAAGTAGTTTGTTGTGTGTGTGCGAGCGAACCGATAATGCGATCAGTCAACAATTGTTTGAATTAAATTGACAAAAAAAAATCAAGTGAGCAAGCGACAAGTATTTTTCATATAGAAAAGCTGAGAAATTGTATCGTACGGCATTTGGCACGGCTTTAAGGTGCGCATGTATTGGCTTACACAGCAAACCACAATGTGACCTCAAAAGGTGCTTCGTTTGTTTGTTGGTTTTCATCATATATGTCATGTCGGTTTGCAGTACTTATATCTGATTCCATTTTTGGATTTTTTTTCTCTATCTCATACGCTGCTGCGTTAGCTAAGTTAGCGTTCTCTGCCGCAATTTTTATTTGAAATATGCATGAATTTGAGTTTTTTATTTAAATGACCTCATCAAAGGTTGTTTTGTTTGAGATTCAAGTGCATTAAGTGCTCAGACGAGAGAACGAAAAAAAAGCAAACAGAAAATTTTCTGTTCATTTTTTCAACGGGCTAAAATCGTCGTCATCGCTGCTGCCGTCGCCGCCGTCGCAATCGTCGTCGTCAACGTCAATAAACTGAGTTGCTTGAATGCATTTCAATTTAAATAAATTTATTTGTTGATATTTCATTTTGCCATGTTTTCGTCGTAATGATTCGTTTACGACCAAAGGCAGACAAAGAAAGAGATAATTCTCTCGTTGAAATGGAACAATTGCCGAAATATAGCGAATATACAATGTTCTCGCTGGAGTTTATTCAGAATTTTATGAGCTTGGATATTCGTGGGAAGCATACGTCTGATGGAAATCTCCGTATTCTTCCTTTGAAAATCTTATTCGAATACGTTGAGATTTATGTAAAAAAAATGGTTGTGCATTCTGATTACTCGACTACCTTGTGATATATGCAGAAGTATCAAATGTCACTTATCGTGGTGTGTGTGTGTGTGTCTCAATACAAACAATGAAACACAAAAAAGACAGTCGGCTCATGTAATTCAAATGAGGATCGTGTCTAATAGCGCACTCAAGTTGATTAGTTCTGTTTTCAACTTCTGTCAAGTCTAAAGTTCCTCGTTCTATCGCAGATAAAACGCAAAAAAATGCAATCAATTAACAAATATTATGAATTTATGTAAATTTAACTAATGGAAATCGTCAATTTGCAGTTGAAATATATGCGTCGTGTATCTAATTCACAATTTTTTTCTTCTTATTCTTCTTCTTTGAAACATTTAAATTTTGCATTCACTCTAAGTCGCCCCGTCAAATGTATATATGTAAAAAAAAATTAAATGTGTGGCTTATTTTTCGGAGCAACATGATTAATGCGACTGGTTTTAATCATAGTGATTCCATGTGCTCGCATCAACCTCTCCATTTGAATTTGGAAATTTCGAGAATGGATATGAGAGAGCGAGGTTAACCGAGGCTGAGACAGAGAGAGAGACAGACAAAACTCGAAGAAAAAATCGCATAAGCCCCGAAACAGCGTGCAAGAGAAATTCGAGTTGAAAATGTGTTGAACATATGTTGTTTTGTGATTGAAGTTGAACAAAAAAAAAATATGTTTTAATATAGAAATTACGCGCACGCTGTTTTGACCATATAAAGTGATTAGTATCGTTTATGCGTCTATCTCTATTTTCAAGTCAGCCAAAAGACAAATGAATTAGAATGCTTGCGCAAAAAAAAAGAATGCGCGCTCATTTTGTAGTCTTATGATCGCATAACAAAATTCTTTTTTGTTATATGGCAAACGGAAAGGAGAAGGAAATGTGCTTAGAACACGCTAAATATAGTCATGTTCTGTAGCCATTGGAGCCTGGTGCTTTGGCCATCACACAATAGCCTTAACGATTTTCACGTCATACACATCTTTCGTTGTTCGTGTATTTTGTTTTTGCTGCTTCGATGTGCCTTTTTTGCTCTATCTCTCTGTCTCTTGCTTTCGACGTCTTCGTCTTCAATTTTTATTATTGTTCATCTCTCATTTCATTTTATTCAAATGAATCATAATCATTTTTTCACTCCTCAAAAACTTAACGATTGATTGCTCTGATTTGTTCGAAGCTGTGAATGTGTATACTCTTTTTTTTCTCTTTAAATTTTTTTCCCGTTTGTTCAAATTCAATGCACATTACATGAAACGTGTATGTTATTTAAACATCCATATTTGTTCGGGCTCACATCAAATCAAATCGCACGGTGTATTATACACCGAAAGACTTTAGCCACGGCAATAATAAATAAATAGCGATAGCTTTTCTCTCTGTCTGGCTCTGGCTCTCTTTGAATTTATCATGATTCAAATTTTTTACTTCGTCGTTGATTCATTAAGCGATTTCTCTTTGAATGTGAGCTTTAAAACTCTTAGATACGAATTAGTGTTGTGTTCTGCCATTACTCAAAGTACAGCAATTATTTTGATTCACAACATCGGCTGTACTGCGGTCGATGATGGGTGTAACAGAGACAATGTAATTGAAACCATTTTTTTCTCATCTTCATCACTCTCGCAGCCACAATATATCCATTTTCAGTCTTCAGATTTCATATGTTTGTGGCAGAGGAAAAAAAAAAAGAATTTTCGGGTTTAATTCATTAAAATGAGCGACGAAATGGTTTTCATCCGCATTTTTTTTTGTTTCTTCTTCAAAATTCGCGCGTCGTGCTCAAGTTCAGCATTGTGCTGTTGCCAAACACGCCGAAACAATAACAACACAAAGCACAAAAGCGAATGAGAAAAAGAATTATAAATTACTACAACCATACGCGCAGCGGATACATGATCCTCAGTACAGTATCGACATACGAGCAATGAATGGTGCGCATTCTTATTCAAGTTGTGAGTGTGTAATTTGGCACTTAAAAAAATTCATTTAATAAATAGGTTTGCATTTTTATCCATTAAAATGGATTTCATTTGAATGAAGTGCGCACACTCACAGCATGAATGGATTGCACGCAGTCTCATTACATTCGATTTGAGAATCGTGAAAAATCATCCGTATGAAATATGATGATTTACCATAATTTTTAAGCATATGCTGTTGGATCAATTCGAAAACAATAACAAAAAAAAACTCGAAAATTCAATTGATTTCGAAAGAAAAAAAAAATAACGCCTGATAAATAAAAATAAAACACTACCGATATACATTATAGACAAAGAGCGTCCGATGAAGAAAGTCCAAAATTGAGCGCTTCATCTTGCAATTGATACATATTTAGTAAATGGACTATGAACACACTCGGAATAGAAAAAATATTGTGCACAAACTCCAATCGGTCTGGCACTACTCAAATGGCAACGGCTAAAAAAACCAACAACATCGCTTCGCGCCACAAAACATTTGCAAATCGAATCAAAGGCAAGCGCTCATATAAAACAGTAGAAAATGAAAATCATAACAAATTAATAAGTAATTTATTCAAGAAGTGAGAAAAAAACACTCAACACACTATACAGATTGTACGCTTCTCCACTTGCTG